GGGTTGGTGGACGTGCAGTGTTGAGTCCCACGAGGCGGAGATGACGATGCTGTGCTCGCGGCTGTATACGACGTGGCGCACGCCGGCTTCATGGCTGCTAAGCACGGTCTGTTCGGAGGTGTTGAGGTCGATCCTAATCAAGTCAGTATAAACCATGGGAAACGATTTTGGTGATGATAGTAGCTGAACTCAGAGAAAATAACTCACTTCCTCACGTCCCAATCCAGTCCAGCTGTGTAGATCTCGTTCTCGTTCTCGCCGAAGCAGACGTCCAGTACAGGAGCGCGGTGCTCAAATTTCTGCAATAGCTTCCCCTCCCCAACCTTTCCATTCTCATCTCGCAAGTCATACAGGTAAACGTTCTTATCCCATGACGAAACCACGATTCGCGCAGAGTTGGGGTCTGGGGAGAACTTCAAGGCCGAGATAGCATCCGTAGGTGGGGATGCCACATTGAATTGGTCTGCAATAAGAAATTAGACATGGTTCAAGCTCAAGAGAAAATAACTACTCACGAGAAGTCATCTTGGGAGAGCTGCGGAGTTGTAGAAGGTCAATGCCCAAGCTCCTTGGCCGTGTCCTTTTCTGCCGTCATCACCGCCCTATGATTCCCCGCGCTACATAGATAAGGAAAAAAAGGAACGGCTTGACATCATTTGTTTTCACCACCAACACAACTCCTCGCATCTTCGTGATATTGACAAGATGCCCTTTGCCCAGCTGGTAATTGGTCCACCGGGCGCTGGCAAGTCCACGTACTGCAATGGCATGCATCAGTTCCTGGGCGCAATCGGTCGGAAATGCTCTATCGTCAACCTTGACCCCGCCAACGACAAGACCTCATATCCATGCGCGCTGGACGTACGTGATCTAGTTACTCTAGAGGATATAATGGAAGAGGACAAGTTGGGTCCGAATGGTGGTGTCTTATATGCTCTCGAAGAGCTCGAAAACAACTTCGACTGGCTGGAAAACGGGCTGAAGGAGCTTGGTGGTATGTCTGACATATCCTGGCCATATATATTTCTAACTGGATTTTCAGATGATTACATTCTTTTCGACTGTCCCGGCCAAGTCGAGATATTTACACACCACGCCTCATTACGCAACATCTTCTACAAGATCCAGAAGATGGGCATCCGAGTTAGTGGCAGCAGTACCTCAAGCGCCATACAAAGCCCTAGCTAACTAGCCTCCCTATGAAACAGTTGATCGTCGTCCATCTCGTTGACTCTTATACCCTCACACTCCCTTCAATGTACATCTCCGCCCTCCTCCTCTCTCTCCGCGCCATGCTCCAACTGGACCTCCCACACCTAAACGTCCTCACCAAAATCGATAACCTGGCCAACTACGCCCCACTCCCTTTCAATCTAGACTACTACACCGAAGTACAAGATCTCTCCTACTTACTCCCAGAACTGGAAAGCGAGTCCTCACGACTCTCACATGAGAAATTCGGCAAGCTGAACCAGACCATCATCGACCTGGTCGAGGAATTCGGACTCGTTGCCTTCGAGACGCTGGCCGTCGAGGACAAAAAGAGTATGATGAGTCTCCTGCGCGCCATCGACCGTGCGTCCGGGTATGCCTTTGGTCCGGCAGAGGGCGCCAACGATACCGTTTGGCAAGTGGCTGTTCGGGAGGGCATGGGTGTCACAGACGTACGGGATGTGCAGGAGCGTTGGTTGGATGCTAAGGATGAATATGATGAGCAGGAGGAGAAGGATTTGGAGGAGGAAGTTCGTGTGCGGAATGCGTCGAGCCAGGTCGAGGCGACGGGTGCGGTGGATGGCGGACCCGACGAGGATGACGGACATGACTACGACGAGGAACTGGAGAAGTGGAAGCAGAATATGCCAGACAGTGGCGTGCGGGTGCACCGCAAGTAATCATACTGGTCCAACGGCTTCCCAGCCATTCCAAACGTCAAATATGATACGATAAATGTACGATAGCCGAAAATAATCATGCATAACTTAACGCACCAAAAACCGGGGTATCTATTAAAAGTAAATAAATGTACAGTAAGACACCTCGTCCTCGTCCTCATCCAATCCCATTCATCCATCCCCTCATCCTCACTCTCATCCATAACACAATCAACAACAGCAGAGACCCCACCAACCTTCTGCTGCGAACACCCGACGGTTATCGAAAGAGCGCAATATCATATCTTTGAATTTCGTCCTACCGTTCATCTTCAGGAATCAGAGCAAAGCCTTGAAGCTAAACTCCCTCATTTCATCGACTGTGCACTTGAGGTAAGTTAATGATATTGGATCTCGTAAACCCCAAGGCAAAAGGCTAAATTATTCATCACCTGCAGCCAGAACTGCAGTTTACTTCGATCCGCCACGATGTCCTCGCCGACTGACAACGCTGAAGCTATCTGTCGCTGCGTTGACGAACTGAGGCCTTGCCTCAAAGACCGGTTCATATTGATTGGTGGCGCGGCCATGTTGTTTCTGGGGAGCCAGCGGGCCACCAGTGATGTCGACATCCTTGTTTAAAGCAGCGAAGATCTTGCCGCTCTGTTTTCTTTGCTCGCTGCAGACGAAGCTTTTTCTAATGAAAACGGCCACCTCCGACTTAAGCATTCCGGCTTCTCACCTTCACTCGACATTCTTACTATTGCCGTTCAGAGGATTACTTTTGAACAAGCTAGCCCACATTGCCTCACTGTTGAGAAAGTTAAGATCCCGAAACCTGGCTACAGTCTTGCTATGAAGGTTCAGTGCTTCTACCTACGGGAAGACGACGAAAACGGCCATAAGAAAAGAGACAGCGACATCACCGATATTCGAGTTCACTGCAATGAGATGCTTCAAAAATCGGAGTTTGTAAGTGACGACTGCGCGAACAAGTTCAAATTTGGACATTACCATCTTCTTGAGCTTCGTCAAGAACTCGGACCAGAGGCCACGCCGAGGTTTATCAGAGTCGGTGGCAGAAAGTTTATCCTCCTATGGGACCAGAACTCCGAAGACTAGAGGGAATTCTTCTGCATTTTTGCTGAGCCGGGCGCCGATCCGTTGACTGCGGAGCTCGAGGAGTAATGAGGGATGGAAAGGGCAGGGAATGGGGGCGATGACTATATATCTGGGGAGTCACGGTCCCGGGGTAGTAGATAGAAGGGTCCTAGGTGTGGTTCAACGTGGAGGTAGCCTAGCCTCTTCTCTTCCTCTCGATGATTAGAAGTTAAATTACTAAGTCACTATTTGATAAACTCCACACTTTATACCGCTTTTGACTAGGATTGATAATATCTGCGTACGTATATACATGTACTGATATATGATTGCATATGGTGGTGCCGTAACCATGAGATCCCATCTCAGAGTTGGGCTATGCGGCTTCCGTAGCAAAAACCCACAGCAGGATCAAAGTGGCGCAGGTAGGTAGTCTCTGTGACGGAAGCTTAGCGCGGAAATAAAAAGTTATCGCTCGCATCCACACGTCCGGAAAGGGCAATAAGCTGCGGTCCGGGTTCAAGACATCACTTTGTAGGCTATTCCTTTCATGCGAAACGTACCCGGAGTGGGAGAAACGAGGAGTCAGGTTTGCGCAGGAATTGGGAAGTACCACCGATCACTCATTTGCTGCTTGACGTTGAGGGATGTTGGAGGAATCAAGTGAAAATTTGACGGCAGGTTTCCCACCGTTGGCGTCTTGGCCGGGCTCGCGGTGCTTTGCTTTTAAGGCTGCGATCTCTAGGTCTTTTCTGGGCACGAGAGTCTTTGCCGTTTCAGGAGTCGCAAGGCCGGCTCGGATCTGCTGTCTGAAATAACAGACCTTCTTCCTGGCGCTGTAGAGAATGACTTTGTCGAATAAGTCGATGAAGAATCGATCCTCGACTGGAAGGCATGCGAGAACATCGTCGAGGAGGACACTCAGTAGGTAAGAATACTGGATTTTAAAGTAGGAGGTAATTTGACCGTTCAGCCCCTCGTCGCCATGGCGTCCAGCAACAGCATCAATAATTGCTACCGAAACGACAAGAAGTGTTAGCGCGGGGGTCAAGTTTCTCTCTATATATCTTGCTAGGATAAGAAAATGCACCCACCTCGAAGATAAACTAGCTTGGAGGGGAAACGGTACGCCGTGTCCGGAACGAGAAACGTGGTTGTAGTCCAGGATTCTGGACTTAAATCGAGATGCCAAAAGGTTGCTGGTATTATGATCGTGCTTGTGGCCCAGTACCTATCGGGACCTTCGTCAGCACCGGCTTCGCGAGGTAAAAACCGATAGCCAGGCCACCCTGTCGGACTTTCCTTGGTTGCACTACTGTCAAAAAAACCGACGGTGTGTCTGGGGCAGCTCGTCAAACCCATGTGAGACCAGGGCAGACCTGGCCAACTCTAGTTCGTCGTCTGCAACCGCAAGGTAGATGTCACTCAGGACCAAGGGACCGCCGAGGGCCATAATGACGAGATCTCCAACCACGCAGTATCTCACGCCAGCGGCTTCAAGAAGTTTAACAGGTGGCGAGACAGTTGAGTCCAAGCGAGGGAACTGCACTTCGTAGTCGGCCATCGTGATGTTTGGGATACTGAGGTTAACAAGCAGTTTATTCATTGATTCATATCTAGGTATGATGTCGTGATGACACAGCACGGACAGACAATCTTCCTGACTTAACGAACTGAACCACCTAACCTTAGAACGTAATTGGACACCTGTTCCAAGGTTCGTACAGGATGTACACCTCTCCACTATTCAACATCTTTGCATTCAAATATCATCACAACTAGATAATAAAAACAGCTAATTATATTATAGAATATTTTTTGTATGCTAGAAGCATGTATGAGTAGTAGGTCCAACTTGATTATACTGTTCCAAGCTTCCCAGCCATTCCAAACATCAAATATGATACGATAAATGTACGATAGCCGAAAATAACCATGCATAACTTAACGCACCAAAAACCGGGGTATCTCATTAAAAGTAACTAAATGTACAGTAAAACACCTCCTCGTCCACGTTCTCATCCAATCTCATTCATCCACCCCCTCATCCTCACTCTCATCCATAACACAATCAACAACAGCAGACCCCCCACCAACCAACCCCCCAAGAACTCCCTTCTCTTCCGCGTCCTTAACCCTAACAATCTCCCTCCTAGCCCTCCGAATAGCCTCCTCCTCAGCCTTCCGCATCGTCCCGGAAACCCGAAGCACGCGGAAAACACACCCACGCTCGCGTCCCGTCCCCGCGCGTTTCTGACCATTTGCTGGCTCTGGCACGCCGGACATGTACGTAAGCGCTGACCAGACGAGGCGGAAAGCGGCGCGTGGACACCGCACTATGGCGGTGGATGTTGCTGGTGAGAGGTATTTTACTGTAGTGTGGTTAGTGGGTGGGTCTGTGAAGATAGATGGATGGGGAGAGGGGGGAAGGGGCTGGAGGTGGTGGGAAATGAAAATCTTACTCGTTATTCCGCCTGCGGAGGCACCGCCTAGCTTGCCGATTCCATAGTCGCCGTATAGCTCTGCGACGGACTCGCGGATCATCTTGGCTAGGAAGCCTTGAGTTAGGGCGTCGGAGGTTGGGGAGTGGATTGCTAGTTGGGGTTTGTGTGGTTTTGTTGTTGGAGTTGTGGGCCAGGCTTTTGGGTCTGGGTAGAGGATGTCCACGAGGAGGTAGCGGCTTTTGAGGCGGACCATGATGGCGTTGTGTGGTTGTGTTAGGTTGCTGGTGTTGGTGTTGGTGTGAGTTGGGATTGGGGTTGAGAGGAGGCGGCGTCTTTGAAGCAGTACGGATCGGGTACTGTATGGCTCGTTCGGATTATAAGGTGAATGAATCTTGAAGCTGAGGTTGAGGCTAGAAAAGATTGTGACTGATAAGCGATAAGGATATTTCCCAATCGGGCGCACTGTCCATCTGGACGCCCTTGGCTCAGCTCTCAATACTTCAACTACAGGGAATACCAGGGACCATGCTGAAAATAAAAATATATCATGCGGCAATGGCACGTTCATTATTTCCCAAAGAGGTCTAGTCATCTACTGCAAAACGAATTAAATCAGATCTGTAGCCGGGTTGCACCCTTCCTGAGTGTCAACCCGTCAACTTGGTCATGCCACATGAACGCAGGTACATCGATACACATAACTGCTCAGAAAACATAAAAAAAGAAAAACCAAGGGATGAACCATCCGAACTCCACCGCCCTGAACGGACGGACTATATGCCAGCGGACGGCGCTGCAAAACGTCATAAAGAAAATCACAGGTTGACCTCGACACGGCCCTCGGCACCGCCCTTCTGAAGGGTGGGGAGGAGGTAGGTGATGTCATCCCAGGGGTGGCGGTAGAGACCGGTGCGCAGGCGCTTCTGGTCGAGGTAGTGGGCAATGAGACCGATGGAACGGCCGAGCACGAACAGACCGTTGAGGACACCCATGCGCATGTAGTCCTCGCACTCCTCGGGGGAGAAGGCACCGCAGTTGCGGAGGAGGTCAACGAAGCAGACAGCGACACAGCCGTCGACGTTGAGGATCAAGTTGTCCTTCTTAGAGGTAGTGACGGTCTCAACGGCGATAGCGTAGTCGAGCAGCTTGGTGCTGGGGAAGTGCTTCTTGACGAACTCCTTGACGAGCTCGACACGGAGATCGGGGTTGTTGCGGGACTTGACCTTGTGGCCAATACCCGGGATAAGCTTGTTCTCCTTGCGCATGCTGTCGACGAAGTCACGAGGGCTCAGACCCTTGTCGAAGGCCTTGGTGAACTCCTCAGCGGCGCCGTCCAGGGCACCACCAAAACGGGAACCGATGGTCAGCAGACCGGAAACGAGAGCGCTAATAAGATCCTTGCCAGCACGGGTGGTGATGATAGTGTTCATGGCTCCGGAGACGGCGGGGCCGTGGTCAGCAGTCAGCATGAGAACCATCTCGAGGAACTTGCTGGCGTAGGGGGGCAGGCGGCGACGGAACCACAGGAGGGACATGACACCACCAATGCCAATATCCTCTTTGAAGACATCGGAGATGGGCATACCGGCGTAGAGCAGCTCCTGGCCACGGTCGTCGGAGATGGTGGAGATGAAGGCAGCGGGCTTACGGACGAGACCGAGCTCCTGGGCCCAGGAGTAGTCGATGGGGATCTTGGGCACAACGGGCTCGGGGGCGGGGGTGATGTTGCCCTTCTGGAGCTCAGCCTGGTAAACCTGCTTGAGCATCTGGGGGAGGTCCTCGAACGTCTCGGGGACGTGGATGCCGGCTTCGCGCATGGCCTTGTTCTTGGTGACGGCAGTCTCGAGATCGGAGTTGGCGGAGGCACCGGCGTGACCGAACTGGACCTCAGTCTTGAACATGCTGGCGCAGGTTCCGATAGCCCAGGCGACGACGGGCTTGGTGATGGTGCCGTTCTTGATGGCCTCAATCACACGGTACTCCTCAACACCACCGACCTCACCGAGCAGCACAAGGATCTTGCACTCGGGCTCGGCCTGGTAGCGGAGCAAGTGGTCGATGAAGGTGGTACCGGGGTAACGATCACCACCAATAGCAACACCCTCGAACACACCGTCGGTGTTCTGGGAGATAATGTTGTTCAATTCGTTGGACATACCACCGGACTTGGAGACGTAGCCGACGGAACCCTTGCGGTACAGCTTGGAGGCGACAATGTTGTCCATCATACCACCAGTGTTACCGATCTTGTACGCACCGGGCTTGATACCACCAACAGTGGCGGGACCAATAATGGTGATACCCTTCTCCTTGGCGGTGACCATAATCTCACGAGCACGCTTTGGTAGCCATTAGCAAGTATAGAGATAACACGGAGAGGCAGAACTTACACGCTCGGGCACACCCTCGGCAATAATGGCGATGGAGCGGATCTGGGGGTTCTCCATCAGCTCCATAGTGGAGGTGTAGACGGAGCGGGAAGAGGCGAAGTTGACAACAGTGTCAACGTCTGGGTGCTTGGCCATGGCCTTCTCAACATCCTGGTAGACGGGAAGGAGGGTCTCGCTTGTACCCCAGTACATCTTGCTGACGAACTGGCCACCGAAGGTGTAGATGATACCCGCTACGGAAGGAGTCGAGCGCTTGCAGATGAAATCAAAGTCGAGCATGCCCTGCACGGCTCGGGGTTGCATACCACTGATCTCTTGTTAGTCTCTCGTGCCGAGGCCGCAGGAGTGGAATCCCATGACTTACTACACGAAGCATCGTGTCTTGTTGTGGAAAAGGCTGTGTTGGGAGGGCGAGAGGACACGGCTAGGAGGGGCGAAGCGGGTGATGTTGTCGTTGGCAGACTGCACGCCGTTGCCGGCGGGGAGAGTAGAGGAGGGCATGATGAATCTGGGTCCCAATTAGCATGCGAATTTGATTTGGAGGCAATTGTGCAATCGTGCAGGCAATTGTAAAGAAGGCCGTTTGGAGGGGTGGATATGCGGAAGAGCAATGGATAAGAGAGGGTAAAAAAGAAAAGGAAGTAACTCACTTTATGCGTTAAACAAGCCGCTCGATGCGAAATTAGAGGAAACAGATAAAAGGAGAGAGAGGAAGAGGTAATACAGAAGAGGAGAAGGGGGCAGAAGAAGCTGTTGAGAAAAATCCGCGGGGTGAGATACTCGGAGTACTCGCAGATACACCGTACAGCTCGTCCCAGACCGCTGGATCCGCAGAACAGCTCAACACTTGGCAGTCCCCAAAGTACCGGGTACTGACGATACTGTACCCACATCTAGTAAGAGTGGTACATCCATGAATACATGCCTAATACGAAGAGTGTGGGGGGATGTTGATGCGAGGTATATACTAGTAGGGAGTAGTTCTGCATTGAATGATATATATATGTATGTGATATCCGACATTTGAAGTGTACATAGTCTTTTTTCTTGTAATATTTAAACTGAACTATGTAGGTAGTAAGTCAAAATATCATCGAAACCAGCATCAGTATACTCCGTAGTTAGGCCCGAGTCGGGATTGTCATGTAATATCGGTCTATTAACTCAACAGAATCCAAACAACCGCCCGGTGTCGGGGCCAACAAGTACACCATACAATGTACCTCAAAATAGGTCGAAAAAGTGGTGCCAGCGAAAGTTCCCAGTAAATACGGGCTCCGTAAGTACTCCGTATGGAGTTACGGAGTACATTTTTGTGGAGAATTTCCCAACGAAGAGCACATCCTTCCTCCCCTCCCCCCCACCTTGGGATCTTCCGTTCTGGTCTGTTCCTCAACAGGTGGGACCTGCCGAATTGTACGCTGTAATCTCCAGAACAACTTTTTTTTTGTGTACGCCGTAAACTACAGTACACTCCGGATTCCCACCTCTTCCCTAATCTCTCTTTCTTACCTTCAGTTCAAAATATCCCCCTCCTTTTCCTTTTCTTCTCTCACATCTTTCCCTTAATCTCCTACATCACACATCATGTCCGCCAAATCTATCCTCGAGGCCGATGGCAAGGCCATCCTCAACTACCACCTCACTCGCGCCCCGGTGATCAAGCCTACTCCTCTCCCTGCCTCCGCAACACACAACCCTCCTGCCCGCCTCGCCTCCCTTCACTTCCCCGAGGACAAGGCCGTCAAGGATGTCCTCGACCAGGCTGAGGTCTCCTACCCTTGGCTTCTGACCCCAGGCGCTAAGTTTGTCGCCAAACCCGATCAATTGATCAAGCGTCGGGGTAAGAGCGGTCTGCTCGCCTTGAACAAGACCTGGACAGAAGCCCGGGAGTGGATTGAGGCTCGTGCCACTAAGGATGTCCAAGTTGAGACGGTCACTGGTGTTCTCCGCCAATTCCTGGTTGAGCCCTTCGTGCCTCACCCCCAGGAGACCGAATACTACATCAACATTAACTCCGTCCGTGAGGTAAGATTTCCCCGCAGTTTCGAGCGCATGAAGGAAAATTGAAGCTAATGGTCCAATTCCAGGGTGACTGGATCCTCTTCACCCACGAAGGTGGTGTTGACGTCGGTGATGTCGATGCTAAGGCCGAGAAGCTCTTGATCCCCGTCAACCTCAAGCAGTACCCCTCCAACGAGGAGATCGCCGCAACCTTGCTGAGCAAGGTCCCCAAGGGTGTCCACAATGTCCTGGTTGACTTCATCTCTCGCCTCTACGCTGTCTACGTTGACTGCCAGTTTACCTACCTTGAGATCAACCCTCTGGTTGTCATCCCTAATGCTGACGCCACTTCCGCTGAGGTTCACTTCTTGGATTTGGCCGCCAAGCTTGATCAAACCGCTGAGTTCGAGTGTGGTACCAAGTGGGCTGTTGCTCGCAGCCCTGCTGCCCTGGGCTCCCCTGTCCTTGCATCGGCTGATGGCAAGGTCAGCATCGACGCTGGCCCACCGATGGAGTTCCCCGCCCCCTTCGGTCGTGAGCTCAGCAAGGAGGAGAAGTTCATCTCCGACATGGATGCCAAGACCGGTGCCTCGCTCAAGTTGACCGTCCTCAACTCCAGCGGCCGTGTATGGACCCTCGTCGCCGGTGGTGGTGCTTCCGTCGTTTACGCCGACGCCATTGCCTCCGCTGGTTTCGTCAGCGAGCTTGCTAACTACGGCGAGTACTCCGGCGCCCCGACCGAGACCCAGACTTTCAACTACGCCCGCACCGTGCTGGACTTGATGCTGCGTGCCCCCATGCATCCCGACGGCAAGGTCCTCTTCATCGGTGGTGGTATTGCCAACTTCACCAACGTGGCCAGCACCTTCAAGGGTGTCATCCGCGCCATCCGTGAGGTCGCCACTGTCCTCAACGAGCACAAGGTCCAGATCTGGGTCCGCCGTGCTGGTCCCAACTACCAGGAGGGTCTCAAGAACATCAAGTCCGTCGGTATCGAGCTTGGCCTAGACATGCACGTCTACGGACCCGAGATGCACGTCAGTGGCATCGTCCCTCTTGCCCTCCAGGGCAAGAAGACCGATGTCAAGGAATTCGGTGCATAAACAGTTTAATTCTTATTTGATGTTTGTTCTCTGCAGCGTGTGTCCGTTGCATCGGTTTTGTGGTATAATGCATGGCATGATATGACTTGTTTTTTGCGGGATTCCGGGGGAGGTCTGCGGATGTAGATGTCACCCCGGCGTCTGTCCTATTTTGCTGAGGGTATGGCGTTAATTCCCGCCCGGGCGAAAAGACCCGGTCTTCTGATGTCGACGTACATGATTCTCCGTTGATTAGATTTCATTTACCTATGTTTACTCCCGGCGGATTTAGATCGTGTGATGTCCCGTCGGATAATATCAATGATATGAGATATTTATTGTCCCAGAATTGTTCTATCAAATGTAAAGATAAAGTGGATAGATCAGATATATGACCAGCTAAGCCCAATGTGAAAGTGAACATTTAAGAAAAGAGAAAAAATTACATATGGACTAGTAGTGCCCAAAATACCAACCGTAATTAATACATATAGATACCACATGTAATTTTTGAATAAGCTCAAATCCAAGGAGGCAAAACAAGCTCCCGCATTAGACTCCACACCAAGCTGCTCTGTACCCCGGATTGACAGGAACATGAGGTCCCGAGATTAGATCCTAGGATAAAGTAGGGGCCGTGCTGGAGCTGGGGATCATACTGACGTGTGGACGCGACTTCCGCTGCCCCGAGATTAGGGCAAGATAAGCGTCGGACGAGCGGGGGCTAAGTTATTCTTATATTGAAAGAGGATTAGTGCCTATAGTGCTTGGCTTAGGGTTACAAGGTGGTGCTATTAGGATAGAACATGCGAATTCCTCGATGTAGGACGGACGCTCTTTCTTGTATGGAGAATTGTTAATTATCGGTTGAAGGGCATGGCATGGTATAACATACGCGTAATTCAAGTGGCTTGTAAGCTACGGTTATAGCCCTGGAGAGGGATGCGAGTACATACATATTAGGATGAACTTTATAATGATCACGTTGTTTGCTCCGCGATATATTTTACAGAGTCGCCCTTTTATGGTCCTTCTTTACTTAGAAATCCGGTTTATATGTATTGACAGGCAATGTACGGATAGCAGGCAATGTGTGCCGCCTGAGCCACATTCTAAGAGAAGCCAGGGCCCAGACAGAATAGAACTGTGCGGAGTTTACATGTGATATATTGCTACAAAAGAAGGAATAATCATTCAATGGGATCGAAAAGGGTTGGCCAGGATTAAATCTATACTTTCTACATACTCAGAGGATCCTAGAAACATAGACAAAGTTATTTTCAGTTATGATTAAGGATATATCTTGCTCGGTTCCATCTAGATTGCTGCAAAAGTACTATCTGCTGCATACTGACTGCAGGATGCCAACTAATTACTCAGTGAGGCTGTTTCAATCATCACTGAGCAACTGATGCACTCTCACCCCGGGCTACGCCTTTATCCCCCCAAATAGCATTTCTCCTAACCACCTCGTTGTCAGCCGTCTTGATAGTCAAGGCTATCAAGTGGGAATATCCCGACTTGTTAAGGAGCTGAACTAGCCAAGAAAGTTCAAGTTGTAAGGATCAAGGATATTCGGTAGAATCCCGAATATGGCCAGATCAAATGTTGCATTGCCACTTGTGACAAAACCTAGTCTCGAAAAGCCACTCGTTCACAGCGACTAATAGTGACCGTCAATGGAAGGATTATCTGCTAAAAATGTGGGGGAAATGTGCCCCAATCCTACTTATTGCGTTATTATAGAGGATAGCGGATTGGACTATTCGTCTCAACAAATTGAATTAATTGGTTGAATTGGTGACCAGCCAGCATGGTGGTTTACCAGGAATAACCCTCAAAATCATTTTTAAATTTCCCAACACTTAATTCACGCTTATTTATTCACCAACTTTTAAGGTAAAACTCTGATCTAATTCATCCTAGTAGGCAGAAGTCGCACAAGCTCTCAGCCTTGACGAAATGGAATGGCTTCCACCGAAAACCCGAATGTTGAACACACACCTAATCTTAGTGAATAAATGTGATATCTATGAACACGGATGGGTCGATAGGGAATGGAATGCTCGTTTATGAGTCCGAAGTGAGTTGGACATTTAATCCGGGGCGTATATGCATAGATCGATTCGGGTTAGCACCATCAGCCACCGAAATTAGTATCCCAATGTGGTCATTCAGCAGATAATACTTGATATCTCCAGGGCTGCATAAGTGGTTTCGTCAACCTGGTGTTCTTCAAAGTGTCCACGGGTTGGAGTCGCCAATTCCCCAGCCAGGAAAGCAAATGGCATTAGATATTACCAGTGAATAAATTGTTCTCCGTACCTAGATATTGGTATGATATTTAAAGATCACCTAACCTGCAAAGGGATGAACTAGGGCCCACCATGGACCTGCGCTCTGTGCGAACACCCCGATTCACCAATCAAGTAATATCGTACACATCAACTCGCCCCGGTCCTTAATTATCCCACTCAAAATGAAACTGAAGCAAAAAACCTTCACTTCTTTTATCTCCAACAGCCATGGATCAGTGTCAATCGAACGGGCGTTTGCTCGCTTTCTCCGTCCTCCAGGGCCTCATCCCCTCCGTTATCCTAATCACAACACCCAAACAGTCTGTTATACGTTACCTGTCTATACCATGTATGATATGGATCGTGTACCATATGATGTACCCTATTCAGAAACCGGGGTATACATCAACCAATTTCCTCGGGAGCTCTGCAACCTTCGTGTTGACAGCCCTGGATATTCTACTGATCAACCCTCAAGCCGGGCGCGACTTCGCCCACGCCAATGGAAACACTAAGAGCTTCTTTTCTCGTCTAATCGAGGCGGTTCCGCTAGTCACATGTACGCGGGCTGTCAACACACCCCGACAAGTGAAGAACGTCCCGCCATTCCCAGCATACTACACGAAGAGAGATCCGAAGGTGATCCCTCGAGGTCGCTTTTTGGTTAGAGAAACTGCCATTGCTGCCTGGCAGTTTCTAGCCCTAGATATATATAGTGTATTGGCATCGAGACAAGCCATAAATGTCCAAGACAAAGAAGTGTCAATTTCTTCTGGCCTATGGAATATCCCGGGACGAGCGTGGAGAGCACAGGCTGTTCAGACTCTCATTACGTGGCTCTTTGTGTCTCGGATCCTGCTCAGTTTCTACTACCGCGTCGCTTCGATCATCTTTGTGAGCCTTGGGGATTCTCCCTCGAACAGCCCGCCGATGATTGGGAGAATGGCAGATATATATACTCTACGGAATTTCTGGGGGTGAGTGAATCTTACGTTTGTCGGTTCGGTTAGATTTAATATTCATGGTTATTATAGAAAATTCTGGCATCAAATGCTGCGACTGCCCCTCACGTCGACTAGTAACTTTCTAGCGCGGGATATTCTCGGTCTGCCCAGATCGTCGTTTGTGGAACGATACACCAATGTGTTCATCGTTTTCTTTTTCTCCGGCTTAATCCACGTCGTACTTGATAGTCTGCGAAACGTTTCACCATGGAAATTTGGGACTATGTCCTTTTTCCTATCTTTCGTTGTCGGCTATATGATTGAAGACGGTGTCCAGGCTCTCTGGAAGCGAACTCCGGGCTCCCAGAACAATGTCAGCTTGCTGGCGTGGTGGCAAAGGGCCCTTGGCTTTTGCTGGGTTACCACATGGCTGGGGGTTACGTCTCCTTGGTATTTTAGGTCGGCGATGCTAAAGCCGGAAGAACAGATGGTTCTGGTTCCTGTCAGCATTGCTGGGCTCATTAGCCTTCCTGTGTTGGGTAGTATGGTCATTGGCGGTGGTCTTGTGTTGAAGTTTGTATTCGAGGGAGAGGTTTGAAAGAAGAGGATGTTAGAGAATTTGGATTTGCTAGTGTTTCTCAGGCTACCACCTGCATCTCCTTGAAAGACTTCCATGGAACAGAGCACAATAATGTTGTACGTATTGGGGAATTTATCGCAGTATATTAAATTCTGCACCAGGTCACCAGCCAGTACAATACGATAAACAACCCCAGTAGTCTCCACGGCATCTGCAAGGCTTTCCTATCTCCTAATGACCCATGCTCCATTCTGCGGGTTATATCCAAGAATGTAGAGGCCATATTCATTAACATTATAAGCATGAACAAGCTCCAGATTCGGCTCATTGTAATGCCCATGAACTCAAACTCGAGCTCCAACTGCGCCTCAGGTCAGAGTGACTCACGCACATGAATTAGTTGTAGGCTGGCTGCACATCTACTCCCTTCGAGTTTGACAGACTGAAGAAGCTTGACAGGAGTCCCATTACTGTCGACACTGGTAACTGTAACCAGGTGTCAATACTCTCTCTGTGTTGCCACGTTGGCCACACAATGGCGTTGATAAACGGTGCGATTGGCAGCCTAGCTTCTCCATTACCTTAATCGTGAGTGTATCTGTCTCGGCAAATATGCGAAAATTGCGGGGTTCATCGATAAACAAACTGTAGTCTATTATATTGCGTATGGCAATACTACCCAGCCTAAAATGTTTATGGAATGGACAAGATCAACAGAAACCAGACTGCTTTGATTGCGGTCCATTAGATGCGGCTCTGTTGTGGAGCCACGTTTCCTATTCGTAGAACTTCAAGACACATGAAAAAACTTTGACCTCAGATATCGTTGTAAAGCAGGAAAGATAAAAGAGAACTACTCGGAAATAAGAATCAAGTCCAGGGTGGCATAGCTCGCCCGCGAGCGTACACTTGGCTCGCGCATGACAGAACTCCCTAGTTCCATGTAGACAGCAGAGAACTTCGATAAACACCATAGAAAGTTCAGAAAGATGATCGATCGAAAGCCCCGTCCATGAAGTTGAAACGTTCGGGTAATCATCCTGATCAGCAGGATCTGCTCGTCCATAGAGTCCCAATACCATCTGAGTTTCTTCAGCCATGTATCCTGGACTAGAGCCAGCTCGCCAATTCCGTGATTGTATTCTGATAGGAACAAGGCCACCGGTTTCACCTCTCCCGGCTTGACTATTTTGGCGGCCCAATCCTCGAGCAATCCTTCCTCTTCAAGCAAGAAAACTGTCAGGAGGTGAAGGACCATCCTAGACGCGAGAGGTATGTTCCCTGTTTCCGCAGCAGCGTTGACTTTGGGGTCCACAATCAGCGGGGACTGAGATTTGTATTTTGCCGGCCAAGTTCACACCTCGCATGATGTAGAGTATCCCGCGGACTAATCGTCGTCGCAGGTCGCTAGATTCCTGGAAGGGAGTTCCAGGTAGACACGCTTTACATTCGCACAAAAAGTCCATGAACTGATAACACTCATATTTGGTTTTGGCTTTGAGGTCTGGATCGTAACAGAAGTAGATTTCCTCGCCAGCCTTGATATCCTCGGTGGCATGAAGTTCGATGAATGGCCCCGGGGTGGTTGGAAATCTCGCGTTGGGTACACATGGATGAATCGTCAGCTAGGGGTTTACAGCCCATAGGCTGGAGACTCGTTCGCACTGGAGAGACAGTTTTCGGCTAAAATATCAAACCAGCTTGTGAATTGTGACATAGCTTGAAGTCCTTAGCAGTTGCCTGCCCCTTGATCCTTCATCACTTGTGAACCATTCTCTCGATGTTGTAGAAGTTGTGTTTGCTGGTTGGGCGTTAGTTGCAAAAAGGCTTTATAAACGTCGACTTCCATGACGTCAGGAGACGACTTCGGAGTAACCAAGAGGGCCTTTTCCCTCAAGATCAAAGAGCCTCATTTGATGAGTTTTGTCGCGAAAGTACCCCATCTTTGCCTGGCGAAGGCTTTGGCTCGAATGATGCATCGCGAGGCAGTTGGAGCCTGCGATAAGCTGAAGCGGCCAGCAAGTTAGAAACGCTCTCAGGCAATTGAAGAGGGCAACATACGATGATCCGCAGACATGCTGCCGTGAGATGACGGATGGTATGATGGTGAGGAAGGGAGCTGGATGGTGATGGTGATGGTGATGGAGACGAGAGACGAGAAACGAGAAATGAGAGATGAGATGAGATGAGATAAAAGGAAAGGGAAGGAAAGGAAAGGGAAGAGAGCTGGTCTCGAATGGAAAGAGAGAGGCAACTGGTTATCTTCAGGTCTAAAAACAAAATCGCATATGCAGAGAGTAAAAGCACAGACAAGACTCAACTTGGGACTCTGTCTTTCTTTTCAATATCCCTTGAGATATCCTTGGAGATATTATTAATGGACTATTTAAACTTCCTTTTCCAATTTTATTTATAAATATTTGTAGACCCTGTTGGGTGTTTACAGGCTACCATGCACTGGGGAGATGGAGAAGGAAGAAGCTGTCGTTATTCAAACTAGCAAAAGAAGGCCTTTTGATAGATGCCGCATCAAACTGCTCAGTCTGCCAGCAAAAGCAGGCCTCCTTGGGAGATGGGAGGAGATGGGATCATCCCAAAAGACACTTTAGAGACCTTCATACACATCTTGTAGATCTTTTTATGTGCCTATAAAGTGCCTATAAATGTCTGTTTGGAATAATCAGCTATAAACATTGGGATACGGTAGCAAGAAAAATATGTGAATAATGACTAGAAGGACCTTTGAATTAATTATTAGGCTACAACAGTAGGAAATCACGTAGATAGCCGATTTTCTACTAGTAGCAAAAGCGAATAGTTCCTAATAGTCTCTATGCAACATAGCAATGAGTACCATATTTCACAGAACCACCCAGCTATCCTGTCAACGGCGTTATTGCCAATGCAAGTCTGTATAGATAATCTGTACCTATATAGGTACCTCCCCAAGCCATAGCTCTATCACCGAGTCATGATGGATAGTACCCTACTTGTTTGATCCCAACCAGCTTAGTGATTGGCTCACCTGCTTGTTCCAGCCGCTCCAACTCCTCTCGGGCCATATTTGCTTGTGTCTATGAGAAAGTGTTACTACCAAATCATACAAACGGTAAATATTGTTAAACCAACCTCTATACGCTGTGGAGTAATCAGCTCTCTTGACCCTGTAGCCTTCCACTCAGGGAGGCCCCTTGGTCTACCCAGATCTATTAGGGTCTTCTGCTCGACAAGACTATACTGCCCATCTGCACGATTGAAATTGAACGGCTCCTTGAGGGCAACAGGTGGGTTGAGAATGATGCGTACGTCGCGTCGTAAGTTCCGGGAAGCGGAGTGTAGCATGAATGGATGTAGAAGAAAGACATCCCCTACCTCGCCAGTAACCTCGTGAAACGAATCACTGCCTGTAGAGTCTGCTGACATGGACCAGCGCTTCCAGTAGTTAAATTCCTCGGTTTCGATATTCAAAGCGTCGCGGGAGGTGAGTGAAGGCCATGTCCCTTCGGGGTGGTGATACTGAAGTTTCCGCAGAGGTTAGTTGAAGAATGAAAGAGTAATAGAAAGCAGCGAGCGTCTCTAAGACGTACCAAATGTTTAGCTACCAACCCAATCCCATCCGTACAGATAACTGTCCCACCCCCTTTAGGCTTGATATCGCTGAATAGTGGAATAACCAAAAGCGCTTGCTCGGCACTGTCTAAGAAATGGATAAACCAGTCCCCGTCGTTGTGCCAGTCGTGTAAAGATCGGAAGTCCAATGTATCCTGTGGACTATATTCCGGTTTTCCCAGATTCACAATCCAACCATCCTTCCAGTCTTTACACCAGTCGGCTACCCGGCTCGCTCCACCGACCAGGTCACAGATCGCATACCAGGCTTTGGGAGCAAATTCCTCGACGTTGACCATAGTATGGCCCGGCATGTTGACCTTTTCCGTCGTCCAGGTCGATTTGTCGGTTGGTGAGACTCCAAGACGAGTCCAGACCGAAGAGGTAAAAGCCGCGGCTGCTTCGCGCGTGAAGCACTGAGGGACTTTTATGAAGCCATGTTTGAGCCAATGTTTCTTTTGTTCCTCACTGAGCGTGAACTGATCTTGTGGCGTAGACATGCTCGGTATCGTGTATCGTTGCTATCTATTTGGTTAGATGAAGTGGACTTCAGAAGAAGCATTATGCGTGGCTCACTGTCCTTTAAATACCGCGTAGATAGACGATAGAGCAATCTAATCGCTGTTAGGTTGCTAAGCCGGGACATCATCCGCTGTTACGGTAGCACCTGATCGCCAGCTGGGAATACACCTACTTGAAATACGGAGATTGCTCCGTATTGGCTTAATTAGGCATGTACAGCAATTGGGAGCCCCAATTTGAAATCGTACCCCGCTTCTCAGACTGCCTTGAATAGACTCTGTTCCCAATGCGACTTGATCATTGCCTGGAGGGCGACTTTTAGTCGCATGATCGACATGAACTAGCTGCGTCAGGATTGGGTTCTTCTTTTCGTTCCAATGGTACATCAAGGTCCTGTTCACTGATTTGCGATTGCTTTCTACGTCAGTCCACAACGGCACTCCTCTTTTGCACCACCGGATACGACCACTCGCCGCCCCGTAACCCCTTGCTCGGCGCATAGAAGCGAACTATTTTCTCAGTTAGCGTGCTCACTTTGCTCCAATTCGTTCAAGCACTTACGCGTGAGTGAGAAATCCCCACCGCCCTTGGGAATGGGCAGCATGCTACAACCCCGTCAGCCACCGACGAAAACTTCCCATCTTTTTGGGAAAGATCACTTACTTGGATGTCCAATTCTTCGATGGTTCCACGTCCGTGGGTTGGACCAAGATCTCGAAGCTGCCATCCCCATCTCTATTGCCGTCGTTCCTCCCATAGACAGGCGATCCGTCGGCGTAGGTTAAATCGGACCGGTCGCTTAGTGCATACCGGTTCAGTGGGTTGTCTACCAGGAACTGCTCCGCATTGTAGGCTGTCAGGCTCCAGAACCCAAACTCAGCAAGCTCGGGCTTGCTGGGGAACTTGAATATCTATGCCTCCTTGGGTCCCAGATCATCGACTTCCCACTCTTGCCCGAATTGTACGAGGGATATAGAATCTCGGTCGCAGTGATGCCAGGTAGCCCGTGTAGGCGATGTATTACCGCATAAGATAGTTTTTGTCGTAGTCCCCTGGAACGCTCGAGGCAGACTGGACCCTTTCGTGACCTAGGGCGAGCACGTTCGCAGGCTGTTTGGCTGCTTTGGCCATATTGGCGATAGAGGCGGGGAACGCTCGGGTCAGGTTCTGGCCAGTAGGTAGTTCGTAGGTTCCCTTGTGGAAATTAATTCCGGCTGTTTGAAGTGTACGGGTGACCCAGCCCAGGTCCGAGATATTGCGTGGCGGATTTCTGGGGGCGATGCGGCATGTAAGTCGCATGATCTGGGTTGCGGGATCCGAAGAGATGGACGAGTTCAGCAGGGCGATAGTTAACGGGGTTGCGCGATGTTTCAGGTGAGACTTCTTCGCGATAGGACGTATGCTGCTCCTGTTTTGAAGGGCATGGATTTCTTCCAGCTTCCCTTCTGTGGACTTGACAGCGTAGCTTGGTAACAAGATCCCATACGGAGTGGGTGCGTTGACAATGCGGTCGACACTATGGCATTCGTCCCATTTCATTTTCTTTTGCTTTGCCAGCTCACTGCAGAGCTGCACACCAGGCTTGCTATCGGGGTCATATCGCACGAGATACTTTCCAGACGTATCATTGTTAACTTTTCGGAGGTTCACATAGTCGTCCGCACACCTGATATGAACAGCGTCAGTAATATTGTCGAGTTTGAAGTGAGATGTTCGCTTACGCATCGTAGAACGGAAACACCCAGTAGCGAACATTGATGGCTGGGATATCAACCGAGGTCATGATACGTTAAATCGAGAACAGCATGGGAATATAACGTGTCCACGTTCGGCCGTACCACATATTTGGAAGCCGACGTGGAGAGCTGCCTGCTGTATACGAATCGGTTTGTCCCACTGGCCTTTACCATTGGCGGTATAGCAAAATCAACAAATGGCATCAAATGGTAGCCATACTGGATCGAGAATAGTTAGCACTAGAATTGCATTGGGCATGGGCATGGTAGCTGCATACGGTGAGGGCAAATTCGGTGACTTCTTCTATACGAGACGATGACTGCAGGCCACTGGCGCTAGCCGCAGCCCCGAGGAGAATTGAGCAACACTTTCATCGTGTAGACGAGTGTATCAGAATGCAGTGCAATTCTCGTCAATTGTGTACTTTCTCATATCCATAAATCGCCCAAGTGCTAGGCCGAGGCATCGTTCGGGTATAAAATAGAACCGACGAACGCAATGGATGCAACATGGGCCCCTGATCGTCATTGATATTTTTCTACTTTGCCGATTGCCCTCCCTTCGGATATCTCCTCGAACCTTAATTTGCTCCAATCGGAATTGGTGAGAAAGGGAGCTGCCATGCAAGGAACTGCCGAGCGGGTTGGCTGCGCAAAAAGTTCAGATTGTTTAGACATGAAATATGTATTTCCAACGTAGCATGTGCATTTATTGTAAGTTGGTAATGGGGCTGTGTATGGGATCGTCAAGGGCTACTGGTATCTTGTGGGCTTAGAGAAAAGAAATCAAGGCTACTGTCGTGTCAATATCTGTTAGCACCGTCTTACTTATTCCTTGAGATCCTAGTTACGTAGTTCTTACAAATGCATTGGCCAGTGTTTATAGCTCTGAATTGATATTTCCTGGTTTCTGCTCCGGACACATCTGCGCCCTCAAAACATCTTCCACTCATCACTGATGCCTATATCAAAATCGATTGCCCAATCTGCAAGATCGAAGTGATCGAAATTAAAAAGGCCAGTCGTATCAGTATCCACTACTGTCTCGGAGGATGTATTGTCTAGCATAGGTGGAGCCGGGACAGGCTTAGGAAGGTCAGAGGGCTCTGTAGATTGGGCTGTTGTGACATGATCTAAGATGTTGTCGAGCTTGCGCGAGATAGCCTTCGAGGCTTTTGAGGCAAAATACATGATTGGTCTCGCCAGTACTAGAGATACTTTCGAGTTGAGACACCAGGACAGAAAGATTTCGAATGAGATTGGAGGCTTTAATACCGGGGGGAAGTTTTGTTCCTCTTGATGAATCTAGTGTAGTCGAGAGAATCGCAGCATATGGTAAACCATATGAGAGAACCTTGTGCCATTAGTGAGAGCTCCTATGGTAAGACAATAGGGGCACATACAATTCCAGGCAGATCGCGAGGATAAAAAGAGGGTTTCCCGTAGCAATTCGACATTTGTACTACTATTTCAAGTATGTTTGCTGACACCTTAAGTAACCCTAGCTGAGGAGCCATGTCTATATTGCTAAGTAACTGGTAAATTTGAAAGTGGATATGAAGATATGAGAGGTATACCTTTACGTGCATATGGCAAAGTGCGGGCGGGAGATTCGATATCTAGCAGTCCTGCCTATATTGAAGATAATAGGGTAAACTGTTCCTCGCTTGATGATAGCGGTTGTAAATCTCTATAGTATCTTGTTTAGTATTCGAAATGGGCAAATAGTATAATACTACCTAAGTACATACCTGAGCTTGATAGCATTAGCGGGTTGTATGGATTGAAATTGATATTCGATAGTCTCTTCACGAAACTCTGCTAGAATATAACGTATTCGAGCCCACGTTGCAGCTCTATACTTCCTATCTGTGTTCTAGCCGTCTTGCGTAAGGTTGAATTTTTCTGGCGACGTGAACAGCTCGTCATTAGATAAGTCTAACGGTAATTTGCAGTATGCATGCCGAGCAGCTATTCGAGGCGGCCGATTAAAAACCGCTGCGAACACTTTGTCGAGATAATAGGCCCTAGCAAAAATCCTTTGTCGACACTCTGCCAAAAAGAATGGCGTAGCTGAGTTTGTTGCTTCTCTATTTAGGCCTAATGCTAGTAGGTCTGTAGCGAGGTCGCCTACGCGTCGCTAAACGCCTAGACCTAGGACACACACTGTGAATATGCTTCTTGTTTCTGAGCTGCTATACTTACCTGCATCTCCTTCAAAAAGTGTGGCAAGTTGCATGTTCTCATGAGCAAGCCATGTTATAACATCAGTTGTTTGTGGTGCAAGCCCACGAGCTGCTCGTAAGCTCAAATCGCTATATTAACTCATTTCCCGGATGAAGCCATCATCTTGGTGACCTATAGCATAGAGCGACGAGCGTGCCGCTATAGTATACATGTAAGTCAATTTCGTCAATCAGCCCTTTTGTTCAATTAAGTCTAATCATATTACAGGTACTCTTCACTAGGTTATGTTATGGGGGGAAGCATTCTCGGCTTCATTGCCCTTGGTATTGGACTCCCTGCCGCCGTTCTATTGGGGCTGTACGGGAAATTTCTACGGAGCCAAAGCCCATATGCATCCAACCCTCATTGAAGTTATTCAGTTAGTGGCTTGGTCGTTCCCTAAAGGAAGATGAAAAAGGCATTTGAGAGCTGTAAAAATAGGGTTGAGAAGAAGTACAGGAGTGGGTCCCAACTGCATAGATATATACGTCGGTATGTCCACGGGTACCTACAACAATTTTATATAAACTACAAACAAAAATAAGTTACTCTTGTCATATCTCATTCCGCATAGTAGGGCTTGAACAAATGAGACTTTTTTTTTCATTGTCATGCAAGTACTATGCAGGCGAAAATAAGGGTATTCACTTTGTGACCCTGAAACCAAGCTTGAAGAGCTTCAACGTACAACACCAACGTCCTGGTGGAAATATCGGTAGGGATAGCCGCTCCATATTCCTATCAAATACCTCAACCAACAGACAAACAATCAACGCCCAAACCGCTGCGTAATAGCATCACCAGGAGGAAGCTCAGACGAGACAGTCGGAGCCCGAGAAATACGTGGAAGTCGAGTACGATGTTGGGGAGCGGGATCTGGACCTTGGCCTAGTCAGAAGCACGTTAGCCAGCATGCCTTGAAGACAATGTTCCAATACATACTATTTGGCCCATCCCAGTTTGGCCGAGTAGGGGGCGGCAGTGGGGCTTCGCGAGGTGTCTTCGTCCTTGCCCTTTTGGAACTACCGGTGCCGCTTCGCTGATACCGATGAAGCTGCTCGACTCCATCTGGGTTGACGGGAAACGTGGGAGTTTTGGGATGTCGTGTAACTGGGGCGGAAGGCAATGCCGAGGTATTAGATAAAGACATGGAGGCAGGAGAAGGAGCATTGAGTGATGATAGCGCTTGGGAGACTGTGTCCGAGGCTGCGGTCTGCATTCGCGACTTCATGGCACGAGCTTTAAGGAGGTTGTAGAGGTTGGTCATTTGAGCCAGTTTGTTATTCTTCTCACGGTACATATCATTCAGTTCTTGGTTTTTCTTTTGGAGGTCTTCTTGAGATGATTGCATGTCTTCAGTACAAACGTTAGTCGGATATCCAAGTAATAGCAGACTCAATTGAACCAACCGGACAGCTTGTTCTGTAGTGACAGGATCTCCGTGTTGGCATTGTGAATGACCTTGTCCATCTGTGTGTTCAGGTGGGCATACTTCTCCGTAAGCGTCTTCGCTCGATACTCCTGGTAGAATCTGCTCGAGTCAGCCTCCGGCAATCCATGGTGCCAGTTGATACCGGGACAGTGAGACAGACATCTCCTGTGTGCTTTGATATGCCCAAAACCCAAGTGCGCGACCAGCACATTCCATGATTGTGTTCGGGTCCAACCCACTCAACACGCTTGTTTTGTAGTCCTCGGTCGGATTCAAGATTGTCGAAACAGCATCATCTGGGTTGAGAAGTACCGTCTGACACGCAGGACATAGTCGATTGCTGGTGGTTGGACGAGAGAGCTCGAGGCTGTCTGCACATCCATGACAGAAGATGTGCCTGGAATCATGAGCCTTTCGCTTAAGCTGCTCGACGAGGGAGACTTACGAGCAGGTTGTCACCACTGCTTTCTCTTTTAATTCTGCCCGACATTTGAGGGAATTGCATCTTAAAGAAAAATCCATGGTGGCTCTGAGGATGGGATGCGGTTGTGGAGCAAGAGAGTGAAGGTCACGAGTTGGCCTTGGGAGATGTTATTACTTTAGCCAACCTCAAAAGGAAATCTTGTAATCAAACAGCAACTTGGACAGAGAACATTTTGGTATTCGTCTATTACATTGATTATTCATATGATTTCCGTGAGCTAGAAAAAGAATGTATTTCCCTGAGCATCGCGCCGTGTTGAAGTCATCTTCTCTTCGAACTCTTTCCCGGGCTCATACTCATGCCACAGACTGGCTGGGTAGATATGCTTATTTTTCTCATACCACCGTCGATCCACAACCTTGGTCTCTGAGAAATCCTTGTCCGCGCCCTCTAGTTGATCATCCCTAGGTCGGGACAGCGGATCATCGGCGGAATTAGTGACATCGGCCACCGGGGGTTTGCTGGAATAATCAAACAGCAAACCGCCAGCTCGAGAAAAACTGGGCACTCGATTGGCGATGAAGTAGTAAAACTCGTAATGCTGCGTGAATATTAGATGAAATACTCGACCAACAAAAATCCGGGAGAACTTACATGTGGAACAATAATATCGCCCTTGACAAGCATCAAGTCGTCGACGCTGACTCGTGCCCATTCTCGGCGATTATCTTTCTTCGCCTTGGATGCACCGCTGGCACCACGTACGCCCATCTCAGCACCAACCTTCCGGCACCGATCCAGGAATAACCAAACATGGTCGCCCTTCTTCACTTTGACAGCCCCAGCTGGTATACTCGTGCCATCATAGAAGACAAATGGAATGAGGATATCGGTATTCTTTATAGCCTCCTGCATAATCAAGAACTCTTTGCGGAGAGTGTCGCGAGCCAGCGCTTCAGCTTCCAAGGATGCCTTTGTCAAAGCTTTGGGTGGAGGGGGTGCGTTCGGGTTTGCCTTCATGCGTGGCGCAGCACCATCCTCAGCGGGTGTTTTCGAACCTGACCGTGATACACTTGAGTCGCGTGGAGTCGCTGCGGATTCCTCCCCCTCATCCTGGTCGTCGCCAAATGATAGCTTGCTTTTCGCAAGAGGCTTCTTTTTCTTCTTTTTCGGGGGACCGTCACTTCGAGGAGGCGTTGACCTGTTGCGCTGCGATCAGCTTAAATGAACGGGGATAAAAATCGAGGCTCTTGGCTTACCCGTCAGTCACATCACCTGCAGAGGGAGTTGCGCTTCTTGAATTACCAGATGCCAATACACCCAGAGACTTATCATGTGCCTCGCGCTCTTTTGCCTCTAGAACATCCGCGCGCCGCTTGCGAAAGTCGGAGAGATGAACGAGACCGACGGTTTGTTCCTTGAGCATCTCCTCCGCGGAGACGCTTTGGCCGGCGAAGGACCGTGGAGTGGATGTACTACTCTCCTCTCCTTCTGCCATTTTGGATTGCGAGAGATTAAGCTTAGATTTGACTACTGAGATGAGGGAATCAGTTCGGTCGGTGACGTCTGGTTTCCAGCACGTGACCTTGGATTTATAGCGTTTCGAGTATATTTACCCATGTAAATTATAGATAGCAAGCATTCAGCGTTTCAAAATAAAAGTATATGAAGTTTCTCACCTGTAAGCCGCTCGATATTCCGTGTCACATTAGAATCCAAGCGTGCTATGGTCCGTAAACTCTTTTTCGTTCATTTGTAGTTTCAAGGCACACCGCTGCAAACAAGGCAAACTCGGTTCCCATGCGAGCAACCTTCGATCTCGATCCTCTTTGATACAACTTTCTGCAGCATTTACCCGTCGAATTGAATTCAGAAACCATGGACGAAGAAGAAGACGACTTCTATGATCCCGTCGACGCGGTGCAAACAACACAATCGGTGAACCACACACAAAATGCAGCTCCAGGCCAACCACAGGAGAGCAATTACATGGAAGACGACGATGAGGTAGAAGAGGAGGAGGAAGATGATGTATGCACGTTGCTTACACCTACCTACAATTTTTCTTTACTAATCCCTACCCGCAGGATGACTTCAATATTATCACAGAAGCACCCGAAGGCGCACCAGCTCCCGAAGCGTGAGTTAGCTGCCCTCGTACTCCCTGCGCTTTTGCTGATCTTTCTAGCTCTCACCCGCGCCATGCAAGCTTACGACAAGAATCACAAAGGCCGCCCTCCGCAGACTCCACAGGGTTAGCAACATCTTTGACTCCATCCGCGACTCCTCAATACGAAACAGCGACGCCGATTCCCGGACACCCAGCCGCGGCCGCAAGACCCTCCTCAGAAAAGCCAGGATCCGCCTATCCAGCCATTCACAGCTCCACAATTGATGTCAATGCAAACCCCATCCACCCTACGACAGGGAAGCCGATCATGTCCACGGACATGGATGCTGACTTCCCATCCGACGACAAGCCGTGGCGCCGACCTGGGTCAGATCTCTCCGACTACTTCAACTACGGATTCGATGAGTTCACATGGGCAGGATACTGTCTTAAGCAACAAGGCGTGAGGCAAGAAGTCGGCAGTCAGAAGAGACAGATGGACGATATGCAGGCCTTCATGGGCATGGGAATGCCCCCAATGCCTACTGCACCGGGCCCCGCTGCTCCAACTAGTGCTGCACCGCCCATGGCTGGTATGCCCGGAATGCCGGATATGAACCCAGATATGATGCAAGGCATGCTGGCCAGCATGATGTCCCAGGGCTTGGACCCATCTAATATGGATCCTATGGCTTTCATGCAGCATGCTCAGTCGATGATGCCCGGTGGCGGTCAGCCAGGTCAACCTGGCTTTGGCGGTCAGCCCCAGGGTCAAGGATTCAACCAAGGAGGTCAGGGTCAAATGGGCTACGGCGGATACGATCAACGTGGAGGTTACGGGGGCCGAGGACGTGGCCGAAGATGGTAGTTTGATATGGGCTTCGTATTACTGTGATGTAGCTTCGGGGTGCGCCCTCGGAATAATGGGATCTCACGGCGTTTCATGCATACAAAGGGAATAGCAATGACACTGAACAGTTTACATTTTCAAGCTTCTTCCGGCAGATGTAAAGCTGTAGGCCGGGGAAGTGTACAAGTCTAAATGCGTGCCTAGACGGACGGCTATACCAGACATATCAATAGACAAATAATAGCGAGTATCTAAACATAAAAGACTATAAATTCCCAGTAATTCATTCCCTAGGGAGAACCACAGTCCAGGGGAAACAGGGCTGTTCGGAAAGAAGCTCATGGTTCGGTCTTGGCATTCTGGAAATTTCTCCAGTCCAGATCTTCTTCCCCCGGACCAGTTCCATCTTCTTCCCTTCTCCATCCTCATCCTCAACTCACGATCTTCACAGGAATCCCCTTCACCTTCACAATGGTACGTGGTATATCCCGATTGATTCCACAACCCGAATATCCTATTTCCCAACTCCCGGAGCGCGCTACTAGCACCTCCACGCCCAGCTTTTTCTTCCTCCAGACCGAGCCCGGATACCCGAAAACCCGCATCGCGCAATTCCCAATTCAATTCGGTTGCTCTCATTGAGAAACACAGTCACTAACCCAATTCAATTTCTAGTCTGTCCTCCGCAACATCAAGTCCCTCGCCCCCCTCCTGGACCGCGTCCTGGTCCAGCGCATCAAGCCCGAGGCCAAGACTGCCTCCGGTATTTTCCTCCCCGAGGCTGCCGTCAAGGAGCAGAACGAGGCCCAGGTCCTCGCCGTTGGCCCCGGTCTCCTTGACCGTGACGGCAAGCGTATCCCCATGGGTGTAACCGCCGGTGACAAGGTCCTCATCCCCCAGGTATGTGGTCCGACAATTCCCCGTTCGGATGCGAATACTCGAAATATATGCTAACGTGGCTCTGCTCAGTTCGGTGGTAACGCCATCAAGGTCGGCGAGGAGGAGTACACCCTCTTCCGGGATCACGAGTATGTCTTCTTTCCTCCCTGCGGTTTTCGCCCAGAACAGCAACTGACAACCCACTAGTATCCTGGCCAAGATCAAGGAGTAAATTAGTCACCCAAGACAATATTCTTATACGATTTTGTTTCGCCGCCATCTAACCTCCCTCTGTCATGTCGACATCAAGCCCTGTTTCGCTGTAAAATCGCGACGGGGATATTGGACGACCGCTGATGTGTATAATACGCGACGTCACGAGCTCGACCTTTGTCAACGATCTCAAGAACACTGACCAAGAAAAAAAACCAAAAATAATAGCGAATAGGGATGTTCTCACCGAGTGATATTTGACATTTGATTGTTTAGGTATCATGTCAGTTGTGGCTCCTATTTTGGCCTGTCTTTCTATTTTGCATGAGTTTTTGAAGCGATGGATTGGCCTTGGGTCTTGCATGTCTTTGTCCACTGTACTTTTAAATTAAACTGCGGCTTACCTTTTCCCGGTGTTTATGCTGGGGTGAGTAGTCGGTAATTGCGGACTTGATCATCTCCTCTCCATTCGTGGCATATTTCCAATTCTTCCTTGTGTGCCATTAATGTGCGTCTCTAGATATCTTGAAAGTCCGCTGTCAAGTGCGCAGTAGAAGTGAAATCTGATAGACTGAATCTCATTATCAATACTGACTCTCGATACAATAGTTGATATCTCCCTACCCATCTGCTAATGATGAAAGCCCATGTCCCCCCAGACGGACTAACCACGGTTAATCTGAGTACCATAAACATCCTCACCGTCATTCTCATTCTCATCGGAGCTCGAATGGACCATTGATTCGATCACCTCCGATACCCTGTACATAACCCCCTCGCCAACGAGTGATCCGTATTCCATATTCCGGAAATAGGATCTCATATTCATAAACATATCGAAAGCTCTTGAGTCTGTGCTAGCGCTGGCAACCGTCTCATGAGAGGGCAGGGGGACTGGATCTAATTTGAAATCAGTATATTGGTTGAAACCACCAACGCGAATGTCATCCAAAATGAGGCGTGCCGCGAAAGGATTAAATCCCAGGTCACGGAGAGCGACCTCATATTCTGACTCTCCTTCTGTGATGTTTTCTATCATTCCAGGGGGAAACAATTGGTATCGAAGTCTTCCCATGCCGAAACACCACAATACAATGTATAACGAGTGGTTCGGGATCGGTATCAGTAATGTCGTGGACAATCCCTCGTTTTGGGCGTCACAAAACTCAGCGAGCGAGCTGATTTCCCTTACCAGACAGGCATTCGCAAGTCTGCTGACGTCTGCTCTGTCAGGTTTGCAGATGAGAACAACCAGAAGCGCATATCGATGCATGAGGCGGAAAATCTTTTCCCTGAGCGGGGACGTAATTCCCTGGATTCCATTGAGCCTTGCATCCCTTGGACCATGCCCGGGAAGATACCGCTGGGTCAGCTCGTGAGGGGTTGTCAGAATAAGCCCGGTATCAGGTGCCAGAATGATTTCCGCATCACATTTGTACCGGGGATCCGAGGAAGTGTCCCCATATTCCCTGTAGATCAATTTGGGTGGGTTATCTGGCCACCCCTCCATATCTCGTACGACCGACGGGTGAGTTGTTAGGAGGGTGGTAGACAAGAAGAAGACTGGTGGCGGGTCGAATGCCGATCGCGTCACCATTTCCTGCATGGAGAAGGCAGGGCTCGGCGAGCGAGAAAGACCTGAGGGTTTCTCATCAGGGTCTGAGGAACTGTCACCTACGAGTGAAGGGACATTTGAGAACTCGCCTTGTCCACTTCTTGTGGATGCTGATAGGGAGAGCGATGATGGATCATGCGACGAGCTAACATATCCTCCATCACTGCCTCTTGTTTGCATAAACAGGGATAGAGATCCGAGGCCAGCAGAGACTGCTTTGGATGATTTTGGGGTCTCTGTATAATCTATGGAAGCAACAGGATGTGAAGGCTTGAAATGGTCCATTCTGAATCCTGTGGAATGTGAAGTGTAGCCCAATTTCATGCGAAACAGCTCCTGCTGAGCGATGCAAGAGTCTCTCTTGTCCATCGACGAGGAAGCTTGTGTGATCATAGTATTGAGGTTTTGCTCGTAAGGAGTTTTGAAGGAAATATGGTTATCGTTTGCATTTTGCGAATTTCGTGCTAACTGCGTGATATTTTGATCGTTTGCTGGCCGAGTTATTGAAGAACTCGAACATCCCTTCGTCACAAGAACGCCTTCATGAAGCGTACTGAGAGAAGCGGCCACGATTCCCTTCTGTTCACAATGTATTCCTGTATCCGCCACGGGCTCCAAAAAAGCCTTCGTTCCTCTTTTTCCTTTCAAATCTCTGGGTGTTTGCGCTTTCTGGCTGTCAACCCTGCCAACGGAGAAACCTTTTTCTTTGGTCAGATTGGGAGAAACAATGGGGAAGGTGGGTTGCGATCTGCTGTGCGGACTGACTTCGAATAATGGAGGTGTGGACGCGGTGTTATCAAAATCATATGGACTGAATTCACTTTCGGTGGGATGCTTGTCTTGGTTAGCTAGCCTTGCATCAATAAATACCTGTTAAGTACTCACCTCAGAGCTCGGTACACTTGGAGCATAAGCCTCGCTCTCCTGATCTTGAGTAGAGCCAACAGGGTCAGACTCAATACTGACAAACTGATGCACGGTCCCCGACGGGTCCACGATGGGGGGCAAAGCGTCTCCTGCAAGATGGGATGTCGTAGGAATATTCGAGGACTGGTCAGGCACATTGCCAGGCGTAGTAAAACCGTCACCACTGTTTGACTGGGACATTCCCGAATTGTATTGATCAAAGACATCCCGCGTGTTCATAGGAACAACAGGAACATCAGGACCACTAGGAACAACCAGACGAACTGAAGGGGTAGGCGAAGACGGCGCCGGACTCTGAGCGAAGGTGGAGTGAAACTCGGACGACGTGACCATTCTCTCATCCTCGGCTGTGAGGAGAAGGGGCTCGCCTTTGGAGTCGTATGTTGTCACTTCAGGCAGGATGCCACGCCAGATATTTCCCTTGACAGTATCGAGCTGGAGACATCCGCTCAGCACCTCCATGTCCTCAGGCTTAGTTTCGAGCTTCTCCATCATGAGTTCCGTGCAGAAGCGCCTGTCGACTTCTTTGAGGCGTTCTTCTGGATGTTCGGGTTCGAGACCCTCAACAGGAGGAATGGGGCTTGTTGGCTCACAAGTGTCGTCTGCATAATTAATCGGACAATATCGAGTGGACTCCTCTGCGACATTGTAGAATCTGGCGTACTCAAGAAGAGTTGGCTGGTTGCCAGCCATTTTGAGACAAAGAAAAGAGAGAGGAGAGAAATTGGGCGACGAGAGAATAGAAGAGTTGTTTACAGGAAGTGAATGGGAAGGTTGTAAATTGGGAAGGTACGAGGGACGACGAACAGAGTCCCCAATTAGGCAGGAAATTGAGAGCAAACACAACCTTAGGGGAGACATTTGTCTGAACAGGCACATATAATGATAAAAAAAAGAAGAATGATAATATTTCGCTAGTTGTGATATGTCGCTAATCGCTGAAAGAATATGAACCCCAATTACCATGGACCTTTTCCAGCCAACCTAGTCATTATAGTTCGACTGGCGAGACCCATCCTTGTTGACTGCCGGCAGTCCATACAAAGCATTCAAGTCATCCTCCTGAGACTTCCCCGACTCTTCAAGCACAGGCTTTTCAGCATGGACCGCAACACGCACAGCATGACGGCGGTGCGGTGTAAAGCCATAAGAAGCACTGTGGTTGGTGGACCGGTTATCCCAGAGCGCGACATCCTCCTCACCCCATGAGAAGCGGGCATGCATCTCCTGGGTGGTGGCGATCACATCAGTGAGGAACCGGATGATAGCGTCGCTTTCTGCGGCCGGGATACCAACGATCTTCTTCACGAAGCCAGGGTTGAAGAAAAGTCCGTTCCAGCCGGTGACTGGGTTCGTCCGAATGAGTGGGTGTTCAGTAGTGACGGGGTCCCGACGCACTGGCCGGCCTAGTGCCCGGGAGTCATTGGCTTGCATGTCGGCGGAGTGGAGGGCCGTGAGGCCTTTAAGATAGTTCTGCATGTGCGAGGAGAGTATATCGTAGGCAGCGTATTGCGAGGACCAAAGGGTATCGCCACCGCCTCCTCGGGGTGGCCCAGAGAGAAGCTTGAGTGATGTGTAGGATGGTGGTTGGATTTCATAGGTCACGTCTGAGTGCCATAAGAAACTTGGCGTGAAGAGGGCACGGTTGTCGCCTGAGTTATCGCCAGTGTAGACGACATGGACGTCCTCGAGACCTGGCTTTCGGGGAACGGATGTGGTGGCGTGCTACATATTGTTAGTATGTGTACTCATATGAACTAGCTCGAGTCAGATGTCTCACCTTGTGCAGCTTGCCCCAATATTGGCCCAATTGGCGTTGAGCCTCGATATCGAAGTTCTTCTGGGAGCGGAAAAAGACAACGCCTCGGTATGCAATCAACCTGGCAAGGTCATCCCGCTGTGCATCATCAAGCTTTGAGAGATCGACACCGTGGATTTCAGTTCCAATCTTAGGGTTGTGGTCAAAGACAGCTGTGGCATCCCTCAGAAGGTTGCGGAACTTGGGGTCTCCTCGCAGTCCCTTGTCCTGGTACGGAGTGTATTCAAGCGGGGCCCAATGAATGTCCGGAAACGAGGGGAAAAGGTCTTCGTAAGCATAGTTGCGGTGTTGAGTGACTGGTGTCCGGCCGGGCTGATAGCCAAATTTGTTGTCGCCAGCGAGGTCCTCCGCGAGGACGGGAACGGTGAACTTGGCCACGGTTGGGGCCACAGTCACCGCGGGCTCTTCCAATGATGGCGCCATCTCTAATGCAAGTGATGATGTGTGTAAAATAAATGCAAGAGATGAAATGTGAAAGGATGGAGGCGAGGTTGATATGGAAGTATAGAACTAAGTTTGGATAGGGAGGAAAGAACCGCTTTATATAGATACAAGCTAAGGGATACAAGTCAAGCATGCAATTGATGTGAACCAAGTGAGTCAACCCCAGATAACGCCATTCTGGAATGACTATGGATCTCCCATGCCCCGGAGTTCACGGAGATGGCGCAATTTCCCAGGTTAATCACCTCAGGCAAATATGATGGGGAGACTGGACACGAAATAATTGGTTCTGAATGGATATTATATTGAGAGAGAGACCCGCCCCTTCCCCCTAGAATATTCAAGCTGATCACGCAATTTTGCTGACGTTGATGGCGAGATTTGCCATCTTCATCAAATGAACATGAAAAACGGGTGCTCAGTCGATATACTAGCTCTCACCGCTGTTTTAGATGGGACATCTCCAAGTCGAGGACTTTGCGTGTTCAATAGGGATAGAAATGTTGATGTACATCGTGCAGGAAAGTGGAGGTTGAGATTAGGAATGGCGCTAAGGAGGCGATCACGCAAGAGTGGCGGGCTTTTGCGACGGGTTACTCATCAGCCTCACTGGGCTGACCTCGGGATCGTCTAGGTGGTTCATAACTCATGCAGCAATTACTATAAATATGGTAAATACGTATGTCATACAATGTAGAGCTTGAATACATTGGATTGGCTCAACGAATTTGACTTTAGAATGATCTAAGCCTACCTAGGTAGGTTGTCTAGCTTGTGTTCTTATTTTACCATGTATGGCTATATGTTCGGTCTACAATTACGGCTCCGACTAATAGAGTTCGGAGTTAACAGATAAACTGCTGGATGTCATGTTTCGCATGCTGAAGATCAGCTCTCATAAAATACAGACAAAATTCGCTAAATCCTCCTATCTATCCCAGATGAAGCCGGCCATCTCCAAGGGATTGCTGCCCAATCGACAAATCTTGTACTTGTTCGGATACATTGCTCAGACGAGTCGCAACACCCATGATGCCAGCCTCGACATCTGAGAGAACACCAGAAAGTTCGCTGATGGTGGACCGAGGAGTCCCCGCAGCTCCCTCACGAGACTTGGAGCTCACAAAGTCGCTAATTTGGCGGTTTAGCGTAGCCTCAACACCGTGAAGATGGTCCTCGATCTCTTTGAGGTTGCCGGTATATCTTGTAAGAACACCTTTCATCTCCTTCGAGCGATGAGAGAAGTAATCGACCAGGTTGACAGGGATCCCATTGACGTCAGTAGATGCGTCACCCTCAACGCCGTCGGGAAGAGCAAGTGTGTTTTTGCGACTTGAGCGCATAGATCGCTCTGGAATCTGTTGATCCTGCACAGACCACCACCCACCGCCAGTTGACTGGTATTGTAGAGGGAGCTTTAGCGTATCAATGGCTCGGAAGGCAACTTGGGCCTCGGCCGCATCTCGTGTAACAAGGCTACGCAGCCCATCAATATCACTGGCATCGTTCTCAAGTGCGTGTTGCATGGTTTCCAGTTTTCCTTGTACAAATTCGACATCGTTAGGAATTGTGGCACCCTGCTTCTCGATAGTCGGGAGCAGATCCCCGACTTCATGGCACATCTTCATCTGGTTCAGGATGTGCTTGTCGATAGCCTCGATTTGATTACGGATTTCATCCGCGCAGCTCTCGAATTTTGTGGTTGGCAGCAGATTGCTGACGTCAACTTTCACGCCTGGGATCACCGTGCTCGTAGCGGTGCTCTGTTGTAATGGTTGTGTGGTCTGTGCGGGGGCTGGTTGGCCGAAGAGAGATAGGGTAGGCTTCTGAGGTTGTTGTTGTTGGGCTGTGCCTTGGCCGCCACCACTGGAAATTATTAGAATATAAGCTATGAGAAGGGGCGAGCGCAAGGACAGTCACTTACAATAAGCCTCCTGTAGCTCCTCCTGTAGCAGCTCCTGTTGCTCCTCCTGTAGCTCCCCCAGTAAGCCCACTGGCGCCAGCAGCAGCAGCTCCGAGTCCACCGAGTCCAGCAAAGGCTGGCTTTGCTTGAGTTTGAGCTGTAGTCGCACCGCCGCCGAAAAGAGTGCTTCCACCCAAGCCACCGCTCGTTGTCCCTTGGGTCGTGCCGGTGCCAGCGCCAGCAGTTGCCCCACCAAACAGATTGCTTGTGCCAGAAGGCTGTGTCGTGGTCGTGGTATTTGCACCTCCGAAAAGGCTGCTGCCGGTCGCACCGCTCTGCTGTTGACCTCCGAACATGTTGGATCCGGTCGGTTGTGATTGTGATGTGGTCCCTGTGGCCGGGGTTCCAAACAAGCCTCCTGCTGGCTTAGCTGCTGTCGAGCTCGCAGCGTTGCCGAAGAGACTGCTGGTATTAGTTGCGCCGGGAGTGGCTGTGGATGTGGCCGTGTTGCCGCCGCTGTTGATGGGAGGTTGCGGTTAGCCTTTTTTTCTGCCTGAGACCACCGCGACCCCAGCCTGCGAGCCGAGAATAACGACAGATTGGGAGAGGAAACGATGCAAGTCAGAGCAAGGGGTCAAACGATAGGTCTGATAGGTGTAACCAGAGACAAAGAAAGATGGATGGGAGCACTAACAACAAAGAACTGGTGGAGTTCGTGTTGAGAGAAAGTCCACCTGTGGTAGGCGTTGCTGCCTTGGGAGCAAACATGATTGAGAATGTGATAATAGGCTTCAAATGCTTGAATGAAAATGGAACCTGTCAATGGGCCCCCTTCAATAGAAACAAGCTGCGCAAATGCGATTTGCGGAATGCGCGAAGCTTCTCGGTACTTTGTTTATCCGACCCGACCTTTTCCCTAGCTTGGAAAGGCGGTCTGCTTATTTTTATACTTCAATGGTATGGCTTTTGTTCGATATCTGGAAACTACATAGTATAATTGTTCCTCCATTGTGAGCTTTATTGGGATGCCGTCCCTGTGATTGCGATATATTTTTGTAGCTCGCGGGCTTTCGACCTCAATGTCTGACTTGACCTATTGCCTTTCGATTCTGGTCTTGTTCAGAACTTTGAAGGCAAATGGGCCATTGATTAAATGAGCCGCATTTAAAAGCTCCAGCGAAGGCAGCTGTTCATCTATCTGACAGTATTTATCGTTATGGCTGACGAAAACGCCAAAGAGTGGACGCCAGTATGCGTGGCATCAACGAAACGACAAAGTGGGAGACAGTTGTCACCAATCGATCCATCCCGACGCTCTTCAACTTCATTATCGATAGTCCAAGGTGATTCTGGGGCAACCTCCAGTGATGAATTAAACGATCAATACACCGACCTCAGCTATTTCAAGGGTGCAGAATGGTGAGAGTCTAGTACAGCGACCCATGATCGATCTTTACTAACCTTATGGTGTACAGGACCCCAGACGGAACGACTCTGCTGACAGATTCAGCGGATCATTCTATTAGAACATGGATCTTGTAAGTTGGCGAGCTATCTCTGTTACTGATTATTTCACTGACGCAGTCAGGCCACCGGATCTACTAGAGGACAAACCCATCCACCAAATATCCCCATACTCAACTCTGCTGTCAGCGGAACCGACTTATGCCACCGCAGTCTATCCCTTCTACAACCTTCAAGATCCATCCACTACCCTATTGCTCTCATCTGTCCGTGATCATCCGATTCGGCTATCATCAGCCCTGGCTCCTACATCAGTGGCGAGCTACTCCCTGGTAAATCCAATGACGGAAGCATTCATTACACCGCACTCAATGATTTACCCATCCACAATGGGTGGGACCCACTTCCTCACGGGCTCAGATAGCCTCATCTGTCTATTCGACGTGTCCCGCACCGGACCACAAGGACCTATATCCTCAATGCCGACCATCCCCAGCAAACGCAAGCAGATTGTCGGCGGCGGTATCGGCATGAAGGGCATTGTTTCAGCCCTAGCTCTAAACCCCAGCGGGGATGGTATCCTTGCTGCAGGCACTTTTACCAGACACGTTGGACTGTACAGCTCAAATGGCTCGGGTGAGCTCCTTGGGACTTTCAGCGTGGCAAAAACCAGCGCAAACCGTGATATTGGCGGTCGCGGAGTTACACAGCTCGTCTGGAGCCCTTGTGGCAGGTATCTGTATGTCGTTGAGCGTAAGAGCGATGGCATTTTGGTCTATGATGTTCGGGTCACGGGGCAACTGCTTGGGCACTTGCGCGGGCGCAAGGCTCATACGAATCAACGCATGAAAATTGATGTTGTTCCGTCTGGTCCTGATGGCTCTCATGAGATTTGGGCTGGAGGTACCGACGGGTTTATGAGGGTTTGGAGAAGTCCGGAGCACTGTGCAGGTGGGAAGAACCCCGATTGGGAGTTTAAGGTGCATGATGGTAAGTCTTTTGGCAACACCTACGATGCTCAGTGCTGATTTATAATAGATTCCGTGACAAGTACAATGTTTCACCCCATGGGAAGTGTTGTTGCAACCTGCTCTGGTCAGCGACATTTTGTTTCAGATGATCCTTCTGACGAAGACATTTCAGCGAAGCACACTACGCGGGCTGATAATAGCCTCAAGGTCTGGTCAATGCCATTTCTGTTATCAGAAACAGAGACAGACCCTGACTTAGACCTTGCAGCTTGAGCAGTAGATCTTATTGACCTGTTTCCTTGGCATGGGAATGAGATCAGGTGCCAATTGAACAAATAATCCAATAGAGGACCCAGTGGCACACCCTGACATGCGATGGAGATGACTACAAAGAAACCATACAAGTGCTGCCGCGCTTGTCTCTAATATTCTCTCCGCCGCGCCAAAGAAGGCGTTGTCCAAGTCAGAGTCTCTGGTGAGACTGTCGTGGAATGAGGTGCGCTTGCCTCTTCACAGTCAGAACCGAAATGTCTTGGAGACAGTAGTTCTCAGTGCCTACAAGGGATTGAATCAATGATAGACACCTGTTGTACTGATAACAACATGTATTCAAATCATCCAAGTCGCGGACTTCTACAGGGGAACGCTTTTAGATACTCAAAATCAAGACCATTAATCACTGTGTGAATGTAAATTATGTTCTAACTAGACGCTCTACTCGCTCACATGTAACGTGTATTAACATCTAAAAACCAACCTCGATGCTATATGCTGCCTCGGAAAACCAGATCAAGTCTTCAGGGAATACGAATGCCATACTTCTCATACGGGAAGTCTTCCAAAGTGGAATAGAGCTGGCCAAACCCATCGCCGATCTTACCAGGCGTTCCAGAACCCTGCAGACGCCAAGCCTGGAGCTCCTCTGCCTCTTTCTCGGCATCCGCCTTCTCCTCGTCCTTATGCGAACCCGTAGCTCCAGCGAGCACCTCTTCCTCCCGGCCCTTGAAGGCTCCTAGGAGACCCGGGTGAGGGCACCAGGCAACCTGCATGCCGGCACGACGACCAGCCTCAACGCCTGGAACCGCATCTTCAAACACGAGACACTCCTCCGGCTTAATCTCTGTCTTGCCCTTGTTGCGTAGCTCAATATTGATGGTCTCTAGAGCAAGCAGGTAGATATCAGGAAGAGGTTTGCCTCGACCCTTGCCGATGCGCGGATCATCACCAAGAACCTTGTTGGGTTCGGAGAACACCGAGAACAGCTCGGTTAGATGATCAGTCTTTAATTTGTAGTTCGCACTGTGCGATGATGTTGCTAGCGCGATGTACACAGGCTCGTCGGTTGACTGCGTCGACACAAGGTTGGACAAAAGAGTCGGCACGCCGGGGAGCGGCTTTGACTGTGGGAAGTAGTGTCGCTGACGAACTGATTGCTCCTCCTTCAGTTGCTCGGCGCTGATGGGGAGCTGGGCAAAGTCGTTGAAAATCTTGCCGGCCTAAACATAGCGTTAGTACGCAGATACAGAACGATATATAATGTGAGACGAACCTCCGGCTGGGGTCGACCCTGCAACTGCGCCTTAATAGACCAGGGAAGGATGGGTCTGCCGTACTTTTGGAGGATTTCATTCGTGATTATGGAGTACAAATCCTCTGAGTCAATCAACAAGCCGTCCATGTCGAACAGACATGCTCGGATGCGGGGAAGGCTGTCAACCGAGTCAATCGATGTTTGGGTGCGACCACTATCCACGACCACATTATACTCACTTATTAGTAGAAGCCATGGCTGTATGGTCTGTTTACCGGTATTAGAGTGGGCTGTTGACAAGGCGGCGATAAGACGCGGGGAATAACCGTTATCAGTGCCATCAGTCCCGTGATTGAACCCTTGGCAACATCTGATTCTCGTCCGACGACCTGCTCACAAAATGAGCAGTTCTTCTAATGCGCCCGAACGCGACAGGAAAGGTACTCCCGTTGATGCCGATGACAGTGGCGACGAGGATGTCTTCCACGATGCCCACTTCCCCGCCGAGGAAGAAGCCGTGAGTTGTAACGGTGTTCAAGCTCATGATTGGAGCCGCATATTGACATCTTCCTCGCGATAGCAACTCCTGAACGAATCACACGAAATCAAATCCGAGGCAAATCAGCTGTTTCTCGCAAAAAGCTATGACCAAGCCATCTCCTGCTACGATCGAGCTCTCGCTTCCTGCCCGAGCTACCTTGACTACGATGTCGCCATAATCCACAGTAATATCGCTGCTTGCCATCTGAAATTGGAAGATTGGAAGGCCACCGTGGACTCCGCAACCGTCTCAATCGAACGCCTGAGCAAGATTATCCCGCTGACCCCACAGGACAAAGGCGACGAGTCGAAGGGGAAACAAATCCCAGAATCCAAAGAACACACAGATGCAGTGGTTGAACTATCCGGGGATGACGAAGAAGCTGAGTTGAAGGAACTACAACGGTTGCAAGAGCAGGATGAACAGAGGAGCAAGGTGATACGACTTCGAGCCAAAGTACTCATGAGACGTGCAAAGGCGAAGACCCAAATCGGTGGCTGGGCTAGTCTGCAAGGTGCTGCAGAGGACTACCAGGCCCTTGCTGGAATTGAAAACCTTGCGGCAGATGATAAAAGAGTTGTTCAGCGGGCATTGCGGGAACTCCCTGAGCGCATCAATCAGGCACGGGAGAAGGAGATGGGTGATATGATGGGCAAGCTGAAGGAAGTGAGTGCTTTTTCTCTGAGAATGTACATCTTAACTTGATATAGTGATACTGATATCGGACAGCTCGGCAATGGAATCTTGAGTCCATTTGGTCTGTCGACAGACAACTTCAAGTTCGTCCAGGACCCGAAGACAGGTGGCTATAACATGAACTTCCAATCTTGATCAGATTTGGTCGGGCAAACAGGATGGTATCATCTATTCTTTGTACCCCGGACACCAGAGCCCTGAGATTTATTTGTTTCTCAGCATCCTATACATACTGGCAGGAAGCCATGAAGGCGTTCAGACTTTTGCGCACTCTTTAGTTTATTTCAACAATTAAACAGCTTTATCGTTGTGGATCATGGGAACATTTCCTGTCCAAGAGTTCCCGCTTCTATCCACAGCCTCCTTTGAGGCCGCCACCTTGGATACACACGGTTCTCGCAGTCATGCATAGAATCTTCCAGTCTAGAAGGGTCCGGATCTAATGATTAGCTGGGACTATTCTTTGACCGCAAAGTGACGACATTTTCCCCATTTGGTCTCTATATATCCTTTTAGGAATCATGAAACATGTCTAGCAAGCTCTTTGTAAATATAATCATAGGAGTGTGGTTGCCTTTGACACCAGACAAGACAAAAATATACCGATATGTAGCTAAGCGCTGCATACACGGCGAACCCCAACCCATTCGATCTTAAAAGCCCAGCTTTCGCACCCAAATTATTCCAAACAACACAACCTTGTACATCACCAACCATGCCTCTCAAAGTATTTACCACTGAGTCCATTGGTGCGCAGAGAAACCACATTGCCATCTACATTGAAACCGATCCAAGCGAAGACAGGGGTTGGCTACACCATGTCACCGGAACAATCCTGAACGGCATGGATTACACACCTAGGCAGACACCCAACCCGGAGTTGCTGCCAGAACATGTGCCGGACTCCAAGAAGCAGATCGGGATCATTGAAGAGGAAGACCTGGAGAGGTTCCAGGAGGAGTGCTGCCTAGCAGTTCTTCCCCCGCGGGCCCAGGTCACGCTCAAGGGAACCCGACTGTATCCTGGCATCCCGCTCTACCGCTGTGGAGATTGGCTGAAAGATGTTGCGGACATGGCTGTCAGGAAGGGGATCATTAAGCCTCTGTGATTAAGCCTCTGTGATGGTTAGTTATTCCTTCGGTTTCGTGGCCTTCTGAGAGACTGTATGATACTAACGTAACAAGCAGTCCGTGGTTCCATACACGCCATATCTGACATTAGCCCTATAGTTAGGACTTCTCCGTTGGACTCTAGATAGTACTAAATCAATTATTCTTGTCTGCAGTTTTCTATCTTGCCCGACCGTCCTTCAAAACATTAGGTGGGAAACACAATAATGTGTTAAGATAGCTGTACAATGTATGGGGAATATTGAAATGGTATGATTCTTCCAGGGACGCAATTGAAGCTAAGACCATTCTCTGGGTGTTTCTTGACAAGAAACAGGTTTCATTTTCTTTCAATTCCCCTTTCATTTGTCTTATAATCTTGTAGCAGAATTGTTGTTCCCGAGACCCGACTCTGCATGTCTTAGGACAGCATCTTGTTCTGAGAACCATCATTTCTTGCCATAGCAGGAAGCTATATAAGGCTACAACATCCCACCAATATATTCCCCCAGCACACAACTCACCTTTCAAAAAGTCTATCTAACAAGATCAAGGACATCTACAACTGTCCACCATGCCATTCAACGTCAATGTCAGCCGAGAAGATGGAAGCTGGGACTGGGTGTTTTAAGATTGAGCTCGATACAATCGCCAAGGAAGGGAAGGTAGAGAGTACAGGTGGAGATACTCCTTCAAGAGTGATCGGAAAGACGGCAATCAATACACAGCTCGAATCAACCGCAATCCCAGGTCCAATCCTTTTGGAAAACATGATCGCGACTATCGTGAAGCAGATTTGCGAATTTCCATGAATTATGCTTTGCGGTGATTGGCCCAGTACCGCAGAAAAGTCATCCAACCCGCCCGGGCCTTCGCACCCTGATGTTTGCGCCATGGAAGCAAGAGCCAAACGAGTGGTGGCTGTCGATTTTGGGCAGAGCCTTTGAAAAGGGGATATTCAAGCGCGTCCAGATACCCAACCCATGGTTGCGCTCCCTGTGAAGGCGCTGCGGTGTGGGGTAGACACTTGATTCAGTTAAAAATAGACTAGAAGACACCAACTGGCGCAATTTCATGAATGCCTTGACGATCGCAAATCTGTCATCCCTTGATAAACTCCATTGTAACCCTCGACCTTCTCACTCATCTGGTGAAACACAAACTGCGCCAGACGTGCAGCAGGATACAGCCGCAGCCCCGTGGGATTGACGACCTGCATTAATGCCCCGATAGCCCCCTCATACCCGCTGTCCATAACACCCGCATGTACTGTCACCCCGGACCGAAACAATGAGCTGCGCACAAAAACCTCGCCCATCACATCCAGAGGAACGGAGACGGTCTCATTGAATTCCACAAGATAAGAACCCTGCCCGAGATCTAAATATGGGGTATTTTCCTTTGATGCGGGAAAAGGTATCTCTTCAGTTGAGGCTGGCTGCCGGAGTTGGTTATCCAAGTCGATTATTCCAGGCGAGGTCCACTTGAGAACCCGCTTCAGTGTGAGGTCTACACCACAGGGCTGGGCCTGCAGTGTGGGATATTTGACATTGCGGATGATGGAGCGGGTGAGGAGAGAGCGCCCAGGGAGGATCATATTCAATAGGTGTCAGAGATTGGTCTCAGTCTGGTCTCCTATGATCTCTGCTTCTGGAGAAGTGTTTGTCAATGTTGTTATTGCCCAGCTGCTATGGGATGGGGGGGAAGACAAACAGAGCAAACAGAAGCCTCCAGGCCTCCTACGCTGAACGACACTAGCTACTTTCTCAGGTACACACTTCCACACCTAGGTACGTCTATGAGAGCGCGAAATGATACAAACAGGTCGAACCGAGGAAGCCGAAGGGCCGACAGGGCAGGAAACCTTGGTAAGTCCCCCGGGGCCCCAAGTTTAAAACTTCGCCCAATCAGAACACAGCGCGGGGGCAGATTGTGGGGGCCCACACTATGGTACGGAACACGTATGGAGATCTCAATGCCGAGTTTGGCTTCCGGGAGTAGTAAGGTGCATATGATTACATTGTACTTCTATTTAACATCGCCATTTCTGGTTTGACTCATGCCCTTTTGGAGTCAAGCTCAGTGCAATTGATACTATACCCAAAATGCCAACAATTTACCGTTCCCCATATCCAGATCTGGATATCAAATCGGTCGATTTGGTCTCTTATCTGTTCTCCAATCCTTTCAACACACCCTTGGACCGGCCTATATACATCAATGCTATTTCAGGAGAGCAGTACACTCTCGGAGATGTGATCCAACGTACACGCTCTCTGTCCAACGGGCTTCGGCAAAGTATAGGCGTTAAGCCCAACGATGTCGTAGCGTTGTTTAGTCCCAACACAATCGATTACCCAGTGGTATGCCATGCAATTGTCAGCTCGAGAGCAATTGTTGCTCCGAACAGCGCAGCTTTGACGGCACTCGAGCTTAACGCTCAGCTCAAGACCAGCGGGGCCAGATTCATCATCGTCCATTCATCTTTGCTGGAAACTGCCCAAAAGGCCGCCAAAGGCACATCTGTCGAGAAAGTCCTCCTGATAGATGGCCAAACATCAGTCAATGGTCAACCTACATGCAACCATCTGGCCAGCACATTTGCCCCCGCTGATTTCCTCACTATCGATCCGGCCGAGGCAGATCGCCAACCAACATTCATCTGCTTTTCATCTGGAACATCAGGTGCAGCCAAGGGTGTCATTACAACACACCAGAACATCACTTCAAACCTCCAGCAATGGCGCCACCTGCTAGACTCTGGTCTTCCCTCTCAGCGACCAACAAGACAATCGGCCATTGCATTCCTGCCATTCAGCCATATCTACGGCCTCAACTTGTTCATGTGCCAATGTTTGATGTGGGGTACAACAGTGGTCGTCATGCAAAAGTTCGACCTCGATTTATACCTTAGTTGCATCCAGAAATACCGACCAGACGAGTTGGCAGTGGTGCCACCTATTGCCCTGATGTTGGTTAAAGACCCACGAGTCTCCAAGTATGATCTAACCAGCGTGCGCAAGATCATGTCTGCCGCCGCACCGCTTACAGTTGAATTATCGTTCGCCCTCGAAGCCAAGTTCACAGAGATTTCCAAGACAGAGGTATTCTGCACTCAGTCATGGGGTCTGACAGAGACCTCACCAATGGCGACAGCCGTCCCGAATGACCGCATGGCTAAGCGGAACATGGGCGTGGGCTGTATTGTGCCGAACATGCAGCTCCGCTTCGTGGATCCCGAGTCTATGAAAGACGCAGCCGTCACAAGTGACGGGTCCACAGAGCCTGCGGAGATCTGGTGCCGTGGTCCAAACGTGGTGATGGGGTATTACAACAATAACGAAGCGACGAAGGATGCATTCCACGTGGACGAGGGTGGAATGAGGTGGTTCCGCACGGGTGATATCGGCATCATCGATGGAGAGGGGTACGTCACCATCCAGGATCGCATCAAGGAGATGATCAAGTACAAGGGACTACAGGTCATTCCTAGCGAGTTGGAGGGAAAGCTGGTCGACCACCCTGACGTGGAGGATGCGGCTGTGACTGGAATGTGGGTGGATGACAGGGCCACTGAGCTGCCGGTTGGCTTTGTGGTTTTGAGTCATCAGACTAAGGGCAGGGATCAAAAGGCTGTCCTTGGTGGGATCCACGCGTGGCTGAATGAGCGCATTGCCAACCATAAGCGTCTGCGTGGGGGTATCCATGTCTTGTCGCAAATTCCCAAGTCGCCGAGCGGGAAGATTCTGCGTAGACAGCTGAGGGATTTGCTGAAGAGTCAAGCGCCTAAAGCTCGTCTGTGATTGATTGCTAAGTATCCCGTGTCAATAACTAGTTTCTCTATAGATCATGGAGTAGAAGCCATAGAACTAACGCTTCAAAGCATTCATGCGGGTATTGAAGCTGTTCTACATTGTGTACTTAATTGTTTCAGGTTTTTCTTTTTTTACACTTCCCATAGATATGACCCAAAGAATTTATTTGTTTTCAAGCCTTCTCGAAAATATACTGTTAGACCACCCGTAAGTGCTGGACTACCATTGAGGTGTTTTGCGAGAGATATTCACATCGTATTCTGAGGAAAGTCATAGAAAGCAATGGCGGACTATCCCGTGGCCTGTCCAGCGCAACGTAAGGCCGTAGAAGGCCTTTTAACATACTGTCGATGGAACGCAGTAAACGCCATGTGTTTGAAGACGAAGCCAATTTTTTCCACCCCCCCAAATAACATCTTAGCTGGCAAGATGGCCGAGTGGTTAAGGCGGCACGTGGGTACTCCCGTCACGATTCGACATACACCAGGTGGTATACTTACTAAAAATCAATAGGTTTAGGTGTTATATACATCATACATGTATATATATAACACGCCCCGTGCTCCGCAAGGGCGTGGGTTCGAATCCCACTCTTGTCATTTTTCTTTTTGGCTATCTCTGACGACCCACTACGTATGTAAATTAAATTATTAACAGTAACTTGATAACTACATGTAGTTAACATATTTCACAAGCATTGGATCACACAAGCCAGTGAATCACCGTAAAACATGTACTAGCGACAAATTACAACTTGATACCACAAGAACAGGAGATTTTATACGGGTTTCCTTAAGGGTTAAAGTCTTTAGTGAGTCTGGGGAGCATCTGTGACTGCCATATATATTTCTAATTTTTAGCAACGTCATTTTAGTCTTCTACTACCTTTGAAATTGATATACGGTGCTAATAAGTCTTACCAATGACTATATATGTATCACAAACAAGGAGATAAAATAAACGTACGGTTGTCGAGGTACATATGTATGAATGTAGAATAATATATCGCATTTACTATATTTTTGCGGTGATCCACTGCTTGTGCGACGTACTCCGTACAGTGAACCCCGTTAGTTTGCTGGACTGCCCGTAGCTTCTGTCTTTCTTCTTTTCCCCAATGATGGGAGTCTCCAGATACAGAATACAATTCATTCGAACCGTTCAATTTGAAACTCTGGCTTATTTCCACTGCGTATTCCAAATATTGTATCACTTGACAGATATTCATGCTACATCCTGCATTGTATATCAGAACGAACCAATCCATTTCTAAGTAAATAAATATCCAGAATATCTCAAATGCCAAAAAGTGAAACATCGGGGGATTTGCCGTCTCGGGGCCCGCGGGCTCCGAGCGGAGACCCTTTCCAGCCTCAGTGACTTATTTCATCTTCTTTCATATCCTATGGACTTGATCATCTTAAATCGAGCTCATTGTACATTGCGCATATCTCTTACAATTTTCCCTTTACAGTCACTTCCGACATCCTAAGGGGTAGAGCATTTTCGCCTGTGAGGTCGATCTGACCAGCTCGCGCGGATTGTGATTCCTACTCTCAATTACTGCCATGGGATTATGGACGTGGCCCTTCTCACAAAAGAAGGAGGAAAAGAGACCCAAGTTCGTCGAATTAAGGTCGTCAAAATGGTTTATAATGTTCGTCGTCGCCTTTGCTATCGGGACAGACATCTTCATGTACGGTCTTATCGTACCGGTCACGCCAACCGCATTGAAAGATAGAGTGGGAATCCCAGAGGGGAATATCCAGAGCTGGACATCGATCCTTCTCGCCCTGTACTCGGCTGCTTTGCTGGCTTTTGCGCCTGTTGTCGGGCACATCGCTGATCGAGCCGAGTCCCGTCGGTGGCCTCTGCTGGTTGGTCTCATTGCACTGGCAGCTGCGACAGCCCTTCTATGTGTCGGCACTCATATTGCATTATGGATTGTCGGTCGCTTGTTCCAAGGTGCTGCCGCTGCGGTGGTGTGGACGGCTGGCTTGGCACTGATGGTAGACACGGTCGGAAAAGACGACCTCGGCCAAGCTATCGGCTATGTCTCCATGGCTATCAGTGTTGGAACGCTAGCTGGACCCCTTCTTGGTGGAGTTGTCTACGAGGATGGTGGATATTATGCTGTTTTCGGCCTTGCCTTCGCTTTCATCGCCATCGATATCATCTTACGATTGCTGTTGATCGAGAGAAGACATGCTATCAAATGGCTTGCGCCAGAGATGACTCCGCTGTCTGCAAATGGACATCAATCCACCGAAAAGAAGTCGGGTGAAACCTCAGAACGTCCCAACTTGCCGACACATGGCTCTGAACCCCGTGAATTGCAAACGCCTTCGCCCCCCTCACGGAGTGCGCTGGAGCGTGTCACCATTTTATTGAGCTCGCCCCGACTCATTGTTTCTGTCTGGGGATATTTCATCATATCAATTGTCCTCACATCATTTGACAGTGTCCTTCCACTCTTCGTGCAAGGGACATTCGGGTGGCAGCAAAGTGGACAGGGACTAATCTTCATCCCGCTCATGGTGCCACACGTCTTAGACCCAGTGACGGGGTTCATTATCGACAAGTACCCAAAATCCTGTCGTTACCTCGCCGCAGGGGCATTTCTTGCTTCCGTTCCTGTGATGGTGGTTCTGCGTTTTGTCACAGACAACTCGATGCAACACAAGATTCTCCTATGTGCTCTTCTCGCTTGTGTTGGGCTGTGCTTTGCGGTGGCTATGCCACCTCTCATTACGGAGGTCTTCTTCGCTGTGAAGGAAAAGGAAGATAAAACTCCTGATATCTTCGGTCGCGGTGGCGCCATGGCTCTAGCTTTTGGGCTGTCGAATATGGGATTTGCGGCTGGCAGTCTGATCGGGCCATTCTTTGCGGGCTTTATCCGTCAGGAGGCTGGGTGGGGGGCGATGGGATGGGCATTAGGGTTGATAGCTGGCATATCATCTATCCCAATACTGTTGTTCGTGGGTGGCTGGATCTTGAGAAAGCCGGTCGACTCAGAGAATGAAGTCCAATTGATAGGCAGCGCCCCTGTCTCATGAGTTGGCATAGCCGAACAAAGAGATTTACCTGTATATATACTTCATAATTTCCGTATGTCATCTATGACAGCCTAATGGACAAAATTTACTGCAGCATTGCTCTCTCTTAACTAACTAGTTAACTAACTTATGTAGTTTTGACGTTTCTCAGCAATATTTGGCTCTGTCAGACAGAAATTAAAAGGGAAAAGAATTCAATTGATAGATAGTTCAACTCCCTTGAACAGAACTCCCCACAAGTGTTCCGCGCAGACCCACGAAGAGACTCTGGACTTGTTCGAAAGGACATTAGCCGTGATTATAGAGGCCACCTAAGTTGTTAAGGTTCCCAATCTGTTTCTGTTATCCAGCTCTAACGTTCTGGGTGTTTACTATAAGGACAATTTCTCGAAGTACGCCAAGGAGATTGATGAAGAACACCCTTTTCCCCAAGGACTTTTACATTATCGAATATCTTTTGTGACGCGTTGACCTGATTACTCGAAATCAGACTCCATGAAAACCAACTGACCAGACGGAATTGCCCGGACAAAAGTGTTATTTGTGGAGGTTCACAAAGTTCCCTATATCCGAAATAAAAAGTGCAGGACATCAAATTCGCTTGATATTTCAATGTCCAATCTTCTCAATTTCCAAAGCCGATGCACATTATCCACAACCGTCTCTTCAAGGCTCCTCGGAGCAAATCCAAGGCTCTGATCGCCTTTCCGTTATCGCCACCAGCTACATCACTCTCCTCCTTCCAGCAAGGAGACTCCTCAAGAGAGGGGAAGTGTTTTCTCGTGATATCAACTAACTACTGCTGAGTATATATGTTGGACACAGTCAAATATCTCTGGTTAGAGGCGATAACTTTTTCATAAGCTCGGACATGAGCCTTAGCTGTATCTCTGACATCAACACAGAAAGGGAAAGGCGTCTCTCCCGGGGTGTCTAACTTTGCATCCATGAGTTCGTACACAGAGGCAAGAGAGGGGTGGGCGGATATATTGTGAGTTGGAATGATAATCGGTCCGAACTAGATCCCACTCAGTGGGTAGAAATTGGATCAGAATTACAGAACGTACGATACTTGGGGGACAAATAGCGACGAGGTCAGAAGAAGGCTCCTCGTTTTCCATGAAATCCCATGCTGTCCTCTCAGCAAACTGTTTGCTAGCAAGATATCGCACGACTCCTGAGCCCCTGACTGCCTCGTCCCATGTTATTTTCCCTAGTTATCTTCGGTATAAAGATGATCACGGTCAAAGGCAAGAGTTGGATCGATCATCGCGCCTCCCGACGACGTTAACACAACCCGCTTGACATCTGGGCCATAATTTTTGATGGACTGCAAGACGCCTCGAGTCCCAGATACGGCTGGGATAAGGAGATCATTGGTGTTTTCTGTCGTGGTAAATGTAAAGGGTGAAGATATATGAAACACCCCGGTGACACCTTGGACAGCTGTGTCGTATGCACCCGGGACAGTCATATCTGGAACGAGAATACATGAAAGCCGTTGAAAATCCAGAGCATGTGCTTGGGGGACATTCTTTACCATAGCCTCGGATCGAACAGTGACTCGGACAGAATAGCCTTGTTGTAATAGCTCGCGGACGACATGAGAAGCTAGGAAACCGGAGCCTCCCGTTACCAATACAGTTTTCGGGGGATTTGGAGCACCCCCAGAAGATGATTGAGTGACCGGCATTATTAGATTGTGAGCATGTAATCTTAAGATATTGCTTTCAAATTGTGTAGTGATGTGGTGTTAAACTGAACTGCTGGACATTATATAGAAGTCCCTTAGATCAACAAGCCAATGTATAAATTTACGGCCATACGCCAAGTGAGACCTGTAGACAAATTGAGTATTTAAGATGACGGCCGAATTCCGGTTTCCTACTTCAAACCATGTCTATCATCGACGGTTGGTTTAAAGTGCAGTGGAGGGTTGCACAACAGCTAGAAACTGCGGTCAACATGCATCTAGGAAATATATTATGCTTATCCCGCTTCTTCCCCTTTCGGCGACATACTCCCGACTATGATTTGCTATTTTTAGGCTCATTTATAGGAATGATGACGAAACTGCAGGCCTCTCACTTGGTTTTCGATGCAATATCTTAGATACGATGTGGCAATATTAGGTATAACTTATACCAACGTACTTATGGGCTCCTCACCATAAAACACCAGATTAGGGTAACGTACTACCGTATTGTTTCTCTTTTAATGTTTCTGTTAAGAGAGGCAAAGGCTGCATGGTGGAATATGAGAATTCACATTGAGTTGTTCTAGAAGCTAAGTTCTAAACTAAGAGATTTGACAGCTTCCCTAACTCGAGATAAGAGGCCTCGTGTTGGGTGTATGCAATCATCCCCCAAAGTTAGTCACCTAGGTTCCTGCTATACTCAAGCAGAATTTCGGCTTATTAGTGTTACTTCTTCGTCACCGAATCAAGAGGTGACTATAACGGTGATAGTTCCATAGACGCTTAGCGAAGTCTACATAAGGCTAGAAAGAAAACATACGATAATCAGTAACTTCAGGAGCCTGATAGCAAGTATTGTATTCTTTAACTCTACAAGTGTTTTGATTTCTCGTTTCGTATTCCTTGTTGATCCGATCGGTGGTCGGCGTTTCGGCATCCGTCCAGGCGAACTCGGGGAGCGAGGCACTCCGACACCGACAGCTTAGATTCATGTTTGGTGTTCAATTTGGCTGAAGACGAGCAAATCGTAGATTTATCGCATCAAATAGAGCCCGATCTACGCGGTCTTAGCTTTTCTCAAATGGAAATATAGTAGCTTGGCGACTGAAATAAAATATAAGACTTGACCATGTGTACATCGTATGTTGTATGGACTACATTCTTCCCTTCAATTGTTCAGTTGCCTCAGTCCGGAAAAAGAAAGAAAAGAACCTTTGACAGAATTACATTCTTAATCGAAGGAAATATATCTAAACATCAAAGTTCGTGCTCCAACCCTCTGCCCTACAGCCCCCCTAACAAACCCCTAGAAAATGGGAGGACCTTATATGCCTAGAACGGCCGCAATAGGAGGTAGACCAACAGTTCCCCTCGATGTCCCAATATGCGCCGTCTTCCTCGCCCTTTTCATCACCGGCGCCGCCTGCCACATGACCCTATTCCGTCGTAACCGCGCAAGAGGCCACAAATTCATTCCATCGGCCGCAACCTTCGGTTTCTGCATGTCGCGTATTATCGCAAACATCATGCGCATTGCCTGGGCCTGTCACCCGACGAACGTTAGAATCGCAATTGCAGCAAACATCTTCGTTGCAGCAGGTGTGTTGCTGCTCTTCATCTTGAACTTGCTATACGCACAGCGTATGTTCCGAGCTGTCTACCCAGTCTTGGGATGGTCCCGACCAGTATCGTGGGCGTTCAAAGCTATGTATGCTCTCGTCGTTGTGACAATCATTATGGTCATTACCTGTGTTATTCAGAGCTCCTATACTCTCAACTCGAACACCCTTCGAATCGATCGCGATATCCAGCTCTACGGCCAGACATACTTTTCCATCATCTCATTCCTACCGCTTCCTCTTGTCTTGCTTGTCCTTCTGTCTCCAAACAGAAAGCGAATTCAAGAGGTTGGTTCCGGTAGCTGGGTCGTCAAAGTCTTTATCGTCGGACTTGCCAGCTGTTTGCTCTGCCTTGGCGCATCATTCCGTGCCGGTACCTCTTGGATGTCACCTCGCCCCGTCACTGACCCAGCCTGGTACCACAGCAAGGCCTGCTTCTACATCTTTAACTTCACTATCGATTTTCTGGTCGTGGCTATCTTCTTCGTCGGCCGTGTTGACCAGCGATTCTGGGTTCCGAACGGAAGCTCGAAAGTACGTCACTACAGACGGGATGAAGGTGGTGAGAAGAGCATGCAAGCTGCACAGAATGGATCTTCTCTTCCGGTTCATGATGATCAGGATATCGAGAGTGGCGGTAGCAGTATGCCCGATCGACTGACCGAAGAAACAAAATAACCTGAGAGAACTCCATTACATTAAAGGTGTCCATCATTTGAGCTCCCAAGCTGCCCTGATGTGTACATATAATATTAACGGATAGAGCTATGTATAATATAATAAATGTCTCACAATCAATGAAGCGATGAATAAAAAATTAGATGCTGGTTACCTCGGTCAGGATCTGCTCCATCCATGGATGATGAGTGTGTGGCTTACCTACCTAGGTACCTACATACATATGTAGGTAGGATGTTGATGTGTCCAATCACAGTGATCTGGCGATGCAGAATATCTCAATAAGGGTGTTATCGCTTTATCCTCGGCATTCGGTGCAGAAAAGCCTCCAGGGCTTCTAGGGGGATTTCTTTATAGATCAACGATTTTAGCATCACCGGTTATGACCTAGATCGTCAGAACTTGAACTATCTCTCGCCGGGCCGTTCATCCAGTGCCTTGTTCGAGAAGGTCTAGGCGGCCATTGGATGCTGCGGTGGAGTTTCGACGGGCTGCTGATACTCGCAATGGTCTCAGAAACGTCTGCTCAAAGGACGGACTTTGTTCATGGCAGAAGAAGCCGGGCCCTAAGGAGACATCAAACGACGATGAGAAGGATCGCACTGGCTGTAGTGAGGTGCCTGATCTCGATGGAATTTCCAACCCTTATAAACCTGCAGGCAGCCATCCACCATCTCGTGCCAGTCTAGCAAGGGAACAATATTGGATTGCAGCCTTCGATGCGTATACCTCAGCCCCTAGTGATACTGACGAGAAAGCCCTGTTACCTCGATTAACCAGAAAGGTATTAATCTACAATCTGAAGTATACCCTGCCCCAGGTATTCCTATAGTCTCATAAAACTGGGTCTTGCAAAGGGTCTTTTATTTTCATGATTGGTATCAACAAGTGGCCAGGCATCGAACCATACAGAATTAAATAGGCGAGTGCCCTGTTCGATTGCAACCCCCATTCTCCGCCAGTCCAATTGCCTCTCGAAGGACAACAATGAAATCTATCAAAGGAAATAGTCAGGTGTGCGCCTCGATACCATAGGTTCTCCCGCTCGGGGGCAAGGGTCGAATTGTAGGCTGAATAATGTCAGTAGGATGCCCAAGAAATGATAGGCCTGCAGAAGTGCTCACAATGTGTATTTCAAATGCTCGTCAATCTCCATAATGGCGGCCTGGTTGCCGCAGCGGTAACAGTAATTTGGTGCTGTAATCTGGTTAGTGTTTTCGTCCACCAGATCAAGTGACGGAAGAAATACCTGAGAAAATAGTAACCACGTTCCGATCCTGCGACCAGTTATATCCTTCCATCACCAATTGATGGGCACGTGCCACCAGAGTCAAGCCATTGTTGTGGTTGAAGGCCTCGGAAATGTCCTGTCCGAAAGTGTATCCAGCACCGCGGGGAGAGATTCCCCATCCACATCGGTCATCGGGATCACTCCAGAGCAAATCACACATGGGTCCCTCGTGGGGAACTTCTTGGATACGATCAAGCGACCGGATGTTGTCGAGAGTGTCAATGGACGGACTCAGTCCACCGTGAAGACAGAAAATCTGGTTTTCGATGAGAGCAGTGAGGGGAAGGTAGTCGAAAAGGTCGGTGAAGTATTTCCACACGTTGGCATTGCCGTATTTGCGGAGACATTCGTCATAGAATCCGTAGACCTGTGTGATCTGTCGGGACTCGTGGTTTCCACGGAGGATGGTAATACGCTGCGGGTAACGGATCTTCAGGGAGACGAGGAGTGTCACTGTCTCAACTGAGTAGTAACCGCGGTCGACATAGTCACCTATATCAAGAAAAAAATTTAAAAAAAAGGTCACCCCACAACGCGTTCATCCGACCGTCGTCCACTTACCCATGAAGAGGTAGTTTGTATCCGGGTTAGGACCGCCAATGCGGAAAAGCTCCATTAAGTCATGGAATTGTCCGTGTATGTCACCGCAGACTGTCACTGGGCATTTCTGTTCGGATATGTCAGTGGGCTGGGCGGGCAAGACAACAACCCGACCGAGAAACGACATACCACTGGCTGCACATTGGATTCCTCCTGCAATACCTCTCTTGCCTGAAAGACACCGAAATGAGCAAATTGAACTCATCATTATCAGCCTGTCAAAACAATGAACCCACCCGATCGCACAGCCGCCGCACATCCTCCTCCGCTAATTGTTTGCAAGTCATCAAACTCTCGATCCAGCCGTCCAGAGTCGGTATGGACCCGGGGTCGCTTACTGGCGACAGGTGGTGTGGCTCGGGGGACCGCGCAGTATCGATTTCCATGTTGTTATCCATTGCGTCGGTTTGTGCTCAGCTGGCTGAAAAGGAGGGGCCAGCTGGGGAGGGGCGGTCTCGTGAGAAAACAACGGAATTCGTGGATGGACGCAGGTATCGTGGGGTTTGGAAAATATGTGGGATAATTACGTTCCAGATGGAAATTCAATTAAAAGACAACTTCCCAAGATTGATTCAAGGGATAAGGGGATGGACTTGGGAACGCGAGAAAGGGAGAAGAGATGGGAGTTCGGGAAGGTCAAGTTGAGAGTGGTGAACAGAGGCGCCACACTTCAGCCACACACCGCTTTCTCCAGGCCTTGTCTACGTAATTATCAACTACACCATTATACAGAACCAGCATGGTCTATATCTTGGTTGGTTTGTGTCAGGCATCCGGGCTGACAATTGAAAACGTGTCTAGGAAGATGTTCCGTACAATGGACCCAAAAGGTATGGAGAAAAACACGTCAAAAAGGGCCGTTGAGATATGGCTGTAGCTTTTTGGTATTGTTGTCAATTCCAAATAGACCTATGTCATTTAGGAGCAAAAAATCTTCTTCTTTGCTCTCGTCTGCCTTTCTCGTCACTCGTTAGATAATGCCCCCGCCAAATCCACCACCAAACCCGCCCCCACCTTGTCCATTATTACCGAACGGTCCTCGATTACGACCAACAGGTGGCTCACCAGGACCTACGGGATCATATCTGGCACCGGGGGGCACACGGGGGTCATATCCACCATTACCAGCTCCTCCTTGTCCGCTGAAGAGAGGGTCATCAAAGGTAGGATGCATACCCCCGCCACCTTGACCAGAGCCAGGACTCATAGATCCGCGCAGAGGATCATTAGGACCAAGTCCTGCTGGATAAAGATCTCGTTCTCCAATGTTGTACGGACTTCTGCCTCCAAGTCCTCCTGGATATCCTCGCGAGGGCCGGTTGATCTGATGCTCATCTTCGAACCCGGGCGGGGCAAAGTCTGGTGGGTTGGAGCGGCGGGGAGCTGCCGCTAGGGGATCATCAAATGGATGTGGACGAGCAGGCTCCGGGAGGGAGCCGTCCTGGCGAATATCTGGTTGTCCTTCTTGTGGCCTTGCTCTGGGCGGCTGGCTTAGATCTTCATACGCCTCTCTGTACAAACCGGGCGCGAGTTTCTCGATGACATTGATTCTGAACAAACTGATCAACTCGCCTAGTCCAGGTGGCGAGATGAAAAGCTCTCGCAGAGACGCAGGGATATTGTCTGAGGAAGATAGTGGAAGCGCAGATGTGGAGATGTAGTTTTTGACGGGGATATCGAACGAGCTGGTCCGGTCATCTCCCAAGGCCAGCGCAAAGATGACTGCGTTATTTCCTAGCCGGCTCACTTTGAGTAGATACTGCGTCGAAGACTGCGCATGTGTGTACCGAAAGGCAAATGTATCGTTAGCGTTCCATTCTGCGGGGAGGGAAAGTGTATCTGTAGATGTTTCTGTGGAAGTTAATAACAGTCCATCGATGCGATCGAAACAGACTTAACATACCTAAGTTGTGGTCTTCACCGAGACCGACCAGCCTGAAATCAACTGCTACCATGCATGCATGGCCGATCAGAGCCACAGCCTCATATGGTGTTCTGGGGATCGGCTGTCTGTCACCTGTGGGCTGGATAGCTCTCACAGCAAGGTCGAGGATATTATCCTGGTGAAGGGCATCCGATGGAACCATTTTTGACAAATTTTGGTATATTTCAGATGTGAAAAATACTGGACGACAGAAAATGTGGAATATGTTAGAAGATGGGGTGATGATGCGGCTCGCTGGTGCCCTCACCTGAAGCTAGCTGTGGCGTCGGAACAAAGATGCCCCGCTCCAGCTATCTGCCCCACTTGCCTTTTCTATTTTTGGCCAAGGCGGCAGCTGTATACAAAAACATACAAACACTGTTATGTCCATGAATAGAATAATAAAATGTTTGATAGATGAATTCGCTCAATAAACTTCCCCTCTATAACATCGACTTCGGGAAATTCTTCATTGCCTGCCGCACTCCCAAATCCGCCAAAATCTCCTCAGTTCCACCCAAGATGGCATCGAACTTGTATGTGCGATGAAACATCTCGATGACCCTTCCCATTCCTGACTGAGTGATACCACGACCACCAAAGATGTTCGTAGCAAGACTGGCAATCTCACCTGCGGCTTGGGTACAGTGTGACTTAAGCAGTCCGATAGGTCCACCCAGGTGCTTCGCTTGCTGGGCGTATGTCATGTTGCACATCTGGTAGGCGATGGATTCAAGCCATGCCTGGTTAGATTCGGCGAGGGAAATCATGCGAGCGATTCTGTTGGGTGTTAGAAGAGAAATACAGCGAATGGTCTAAAAAACTCACTTCTGACGAATCACTGGTTGTTCAATCAACTTCTTGCCAAAGACGATGCGCTGGTTGGACCATTTCATTGTCTCTTCCACAACCATCATTGACATTCGTACCACGGCAGCGACCATCATAAAGCGCTCGTGGTTGAAGTTGCTCATGATAACGATGAAACCCTTGTGCTCCTCACCCAGGAGGTTCTGAACTGGAACCTTGACATTCTCAAACTGCACGAAAGCAGTGGCAGCGGCAGTCGAATATGAGGTCTTGATTTGCTTAGTCTCAACACCCTCGCCGCGAGGAATCAAGAGCACCGAGAATCCCTTCTCGGTACGGCAGCCAGTGACAAAGTAGTCGGCGAACATGCCGTTCGTGATCCATTTCCTAGACTTTGTTAGCGCAAATCTCTTGATTGAACCAAAAAATGTGACCCAACTGACTTTGTTCCGTTGACGATATAATGTTTCCCATCAGGAGTCTTCTCTGCAGTAGTCTTCAGACCCGCCACATCGCTACCAGCAAAGGCCTCCGTGATTGCCAAACACATCTTCTTCTGGCCCGACAAGACCTCGTCATTGAGGCGCTGCTTGAGCACAGGGTCATGCAACCATTGCTGGACAGCTGTCAAACTAATAGCCATACCGGCCATATTGCCATCCTGGAAGCCTCTGGCATTGGCACGAACCAACTCCTGTACTATGATCATATCGTGGAGATAATCAAACTCCTTTCCATCCACAACTCCACCGAGCAAGGTGCGGTTGTGTAGATGCTTTCCAGGACCCAGTCGCATAGCCAGAATGTTCGTCTCGGCCATGCGGTTGATTAGCTCCTGGCTGATGTAGGTGCCATCCTGCTCCTTCTCTTGCGCTTCGGGAGTCACATATTTATCAGTGAATTCCCGGATGGCCTTTTGCAGGCGTCGGTGTGTCTCCTTGTAGTAGGGGGATTTGAACTGTGGTCGCAGCCATAGGGGTTCTGCGTAGGGCACGGGGCTCAAAGCTCCAGGGAAGGGCAAGATGACCTCGGGCTTTTCGCCTTCAATGGTACCAATGCAAAGCTGGTCACGGTATTTCTCCAGCACCTCCTGGCGATGCAGGTTGTAGAAATCGGATGTTGCGTCCTGGCCAGCAACCTGAGCGAGCACGACAGCACCACCGGGGTGGGCGTCGATAAAATCGGTCAGATCATAGACTTGGTGGTCGATGATGCACCAGAGGGAATCCTCGGTGTTGTGCTTCGCGACTTCCGCACGCGTGAAAGTTTCTGACGGCATGTTTTGTTCCGCAGAAAGGTGAGAAGAATGGGGGGCCCTGGGGGCTACCCCAGATTATAAGTCGCCAATCATGCAATTGCTGTTTCAAATTGAGCCGAGGCCCGAAAAATGTGATGTCAGCATCGTCGGCTTCCTTGGCTGTAACCCCAACAGCCTACCCAGAAGGACCTCGGGATCAGCTGATCTCCCGCACAATGTGTAATTGATATTTTAGCAATGGCAGATTGTTGAATTATAATCATCAAGGGGGTCTATAACGTCCTACGACCCACCGTGGACGTACCCTCGTACGGTCGGTACGCGTCAGTTTCAGCTTCAACTAAGCCCTGGAGAGAAGGAGCAACACAACATTTGAACATAACCTACATGTACGATGTACGTTGTGTCAGGTAGAGAAATATCAAAGAGACTAGTGTTCTCTCTATGTACTACATAGAGGTCATGCTAACCGTCGTTTAGATCATTGATACCAACTATGTTTCTAAAATATATCTCGAATCGGGAGGCTGGGATAAGTGGGGTGTATTCATGGGCACATCATGACATGTCGTATGTCTACGCGCCGTCAATTATCCCCCTTCGAGCGACCAGCCTTGATATCTTTCACTGCCTGCTCCGTTAACCACGCACAAACAGGCTGCGCATCACTTCCAACCCGCCAACTGCCTAGGACAACGCCATGCTGTTCAAGCACTTCACTTGCGCGGTCCCAACGACGTCGCCAAAGCTCCTCGCGTTTGTTTGGGAGAGGCGCAGGTGGCACACCCGACTCATTGGACCCTGTTCTCCCAAGTGATTGGTTTGATGGGGACTTTCGCAGAGAAGGAGGTCCCGAGAAGTTGAGTCTGTCGCTTGCATATTGGAACCCTTGGTATGCAGCCTGGGCGGCTGCCGCTGGGTATGATTGAATGCCACTCGCAGGAGCCGGAGTCCGAGCTGGCGTGGTTGATGCAGTTGATGCACTGGGATCTGAACTGGCTGTTGAAGACCCGGTGTTTGTGCGACGCGGAGGAGGACGCGGCGGTGCTGGCTTGGCGCGTGTGGCTTGCGATTGACTCTGAGCGCCTGCAGAGCCATCACCGAGGCCTTTGAGCCACGAAGAAGGAACTTCATTCGTTAATGCCCCAGCGCTGCTCTGAGTGGTTGAAGGCGAGGGATCAACATCAATCAATGAATCTGTCTTGGGCACTCCACGTCTGGGTGGCACAGGCGGGACTGGTTTGCGCCTGGGGGCCTCTTGTTCTGGTGCCGGCTTCGAGTCCTTTTCTGGCACGTCGGAAGGTGTAGCAACGTTGCGCAGAGAGGATGGCTTGGAACTCTTCGCTAAATCAGCTGGCGTAGAAACCATGCGCAGTGCAGATGGTTTGATTGGTTTCGCTGGGCGTGGCCGTGGGGTGGCGGGGTGGGTAAGCCCCGCTGGAGGTGGCTGATCATCGATAATGAGATCTGTGAGATCAATCAGGTCCTCAAGGTCAAGATCCTTTGGATCTGGCTCATGATGGGCTACAGGTACTGTAGAGTCAACAGCCGTACCACCTCGAGGCGGCAGCGTCGGTCTGTTGGTGGCGGCATCCGAGTGGTCCACTACATCTGGCGAAGTGCGACTGCGTTTAGACTGGGCAAGATTGCCGACGGATTTGTCGAAGAACTTCTGGGTTTCCGTGGTCGTAACATCACGAATGAAGATGCCCAGGATTTGACCAGGGTTTGCCAAGACAATCTCAGTGTAAACCTCCAGATCAGCTTCACCACTGTCGCCGACGAGAATGAATTTTCGTTCTGGGAAGTCCCGCAGAATTTGTTCTAATGACCCCCGTTTTCTCTCTGCGGTGGGCTCAAAGATTCCTTGAAGCATGCCCGAGTACTGCTTGAGATGGAAGGAGCCCGGAGGCAATCCCACCATCTTGAAGTACCGCTCAAGAAGGGGATACAATTGCCAGGGAGCATTCGACACATAGTGAATCTGCACACCCTCTTTGGCCAGTTTGCAGTACCAGTCGCTGACTCCTTCGACTGTAAGTTCATCCAATTCACGGATGAATGTGTTGCGGAACATCTCTTTTGCTCCACTGGCAATGGCTGAGTGCTTGACTGTATCATCGATATCGCTGATCAAACTGATTCCAACTGGATCAATGACCTCAATCGGCCTTGCGACAGACAGGTCCTCAGATGCCAACACGCGAATATGAGTTGGCACAAAGGGCAGCGTAGCGCGAAGAGTAAAATGCCCTGATTCATCCGTCATGATATTTCGAGACTTGCTTTCACTGTCGTTAAAGAAGAACACTGTCACCGGCATGCTCCCAACGGGGTTCGTCAAGAATGGACGAAGTCTTTCCATCAGATGCGCATTCGCTATAGACAATTCATCTTTACTCAACTGTGCAGCAGGTTGGTGTGTTTGCTCCACATTCGAACCTTTCCAAGCCGGGTCTGCTTCCTTCTCAGCCTTGGCGACTAATGTTTGAATCTCCTTGTCAATGTATTCATCATCTCCCTTCCCAGAAATCTTGTCGTTACTTTCATCATTTGTAGTTCCAGATGGTGCCGGTACCCCGCTCAGCTTTCTGGCCAGGGCAATCATCAACCGGTGCTTTCGACTCATCGGTCCCCGACCAGGAGAATAAATCCAGCCACGCACGTCAACAGCCACGACTGCATCTTCAGTCTCTGTTGCATCCCAGTTAGGTGAGGAGAGATCATCACCTTCATGGGTTTCACCCCGGTATTCATCGATGGTTTCTGACCACGAGTCACGTCGGGGACGTGGGCTGGTACCGGTGTTCTTCTTTTCTGTCAATTTCCTAGCATAACTGGGGAAGACCACCATCTCCTCATCGCCTGACCGTGCAATTTCCACATCCGGGAATGCACCGGGGGTATTGTAGTAGTCCTCATCGTGTTCATTCCTCTGCCCTGACCATTGTGAGGTATAGGTCTGGCGTAGCTCATTTGCCGCTTTGAAATATTCATAGACCTTCTTTCGACGGCTACCAGGGGCAGCAGCACCATCGCCACCTCCTGGCCCCCATGATGAAAGTCCAGATTGGGACATCGGGTCTATCGTTGTGTCCTTCGGTCCGTGGCGGGGCTCTCGGGTCGACTTCGGATTTCTTGCAGCTGGGCTGCCACCGGATACTGCAGTAAATTTCCACGGCCTTGACCGTCGCTGCGTTCCAAGGAGATAATTCACAAGGCGACCACCAAGTCTGCTATCGCGTGCAGCGAGTCGCGCTTGTCGCTGGACGATCGCTCGATAGACTCGCGATTGCGCCCGGTGTCGGAGCGCGGGCAGGGTTTCGTGCCGGATTCCCCAAAGACGGGAATGGGCACGTCTGGCCGAGTGCGCGCCAATGATCAGACGGAGTATATGCGAGAGTCTGCTGGGTCGAGGCTCGCGGGGGAAGGAGGGGAAAAGGGTGGTAGGCGGGCGTTTGAAGAGAGAGGGCCTCGACCGGAGGATTGGCCAACGGAAACGTGATTTAGGCGCCAGGGTCTCGTGTGGTAATGATGTACGACGAAGGTAAAAGTATTCCGAAAGAAAAAAGCCAAGTCGAGTAAGGCTGCAGAAAGTTGATTGCCTGCGGGGACGAGATCGGCCATGACGATGATTATTCGGATGTTCTCACCGCGTTACAAACCGAAGATTCTGGCCTGATATTATATTTACGTCGAATATTTTGTTCTCTTTTACTATGTTTAAATTACTAGGTATAATCATCTAAAGACTAGATTCTATTCATACATATCTATAATATGTTGTGTGGAGGGGCGTACAGGTGAAGTCCATGTTGAAGCAAGAAGCAGGGGCTTTGCATTGATGGAATGTAATTTTGATCTATATCTGGGCATAAAGCCTGTTGCTAGATAATATCTGTGAAATAAAATCGTATACTAATATACAAGAACCACCTACATACTATGTAGGTACCGTGCGAATTACGCACTATCCTCGGTGTAGTTGACTCTCTTCGCACGTGAACTTCGTCGAGAGAGTGATATCGAAGCCGGAGCACTGTCCAGTTCCACTGAAATCTCTTCAGTGTTTTCAGTCTCTTCAGACTCTGGGGTAGACTCAATCAACGAAGCCTTGCGCTTGCGAGACCTGGACGAGGGTGTGCGTTTCGTGCCCCCGGTTATTTTCTTTACTGGCGTTTCTATCTTGATGGGTATGTTTAGGGGAGCATCTGCAACAGACTCAATCTTACCCTTTTTGGAGACGCTTTTCTTGGGACGTGGTGCAGCTTTAGGCTTCACGATTTTCTTTGCCGGTCGGAGCCATTCTTCCATGCCCTCGGGCCAGTAGACTCTGCCATCAGGTCCACCCATTCCGACTTCCTCGTCCGGGATGGTGCGAGGCGGTGGTATTGAGCCTTGTAGGTCCACGAAGCCCCCATTCTTCTTGGACTTCTTGGGTGGTTTGAATTGTTGGTTTTCGTCTAGGCGCACGAAGGGTATTATTTCGTTCACAAGATTGTGACCGGGGAGTTTGAAGTTTCTCATCAACTCAAATACGGCCTGCTCTTTGTCCTTGGCCTCGATCATCAGGTCCATAGTAGGCGCACAAGGGGGTAAAGTAGTAACGCGGGCACTGTGTTTGCGCCGTTGGCGCGAGGTGATGGCGGACGCAGTTTGTTCGGAATAATGCATCTTTTGGGTGATATTCTTCCGAGACCATGTCGCTGATATACGATCGTATAGAGGTATGATGTCCTCCGTGCCTTCTCGGAGCTCATTGGCGTCAAAGATGATATTATGGTGGTGATAGTCGAGCACAAGAGGTATATTGAGCTCCTCGCAAATAGGCAGTAGATCGTGAACAGACCAGCTCACGTCGTCATTCTCTAGAACCAATCGGTTCTTGATGTCCTGCGACAACATAGCGTAGTTCTGTCGGAACCGATCCAGTGTGGCAGCCTTATCACCGAACACTCCACCCATATGAAGGATCATGACCGCATCGCGGTCCTGCTGTGGGGGCAGTTTGAGTAGCTGGAGCATCTCCGAGTGATATTCGAGATCGCGAACAGAATTTTCGATAACTTCTTTCCTCGGTGATCCAAATTGAGTGAATTGGCCAGGGTGAACCGACACCCGGTGTCCAACTTCTGCAACCACACGTCCTACATCTGCTAGCGCCTCTGAGGCGAAGGGCGCCAGCTTATAGCCATATTCCTTGTGACTGGCAAATGGGAACATCTCACTGCTGAGTCGCATGAACTTAATGCCATATTTGTCGTTCCAACGAATGATTTTGACCAAGTCGCGTACATTCGCCAAGGCCAGCCCCTCGACGAAGCCTTGTCCGCGTGCGACATCGGCTGGTTGGTCGCGGTCTGGACGATTCTTGGTCGGGTGTGTGGGCTGGTCAGGATCTTGGAGCGGGTGTCTATTTTCGAGTATAGAGGCGATTCGACACGTTCGAGAACAGAATACGGAGGGCGTTGAATAGCGAAGGTACGTATTTAAACAAGCCTGTTCAAGTCAGAACCGGAGGTCGTTGGCGGGGTATATCGTGTCCAGCATGGCGCAACCCACATATCCTAATCGACCTTTCCAGGGAAGGGGGAGGTAGCTGCTGTTCACCGGAGGTGGTCGGCCGAGCGCCTCCTTCAGCTCTTCCGGATCAACGGGGATGTCTTCGTCTGATTCTGGGTCCAATGCAACCTCTGCCTGGCCAGCAGGTAATGGTATATCTCCATTGAGGATATCCACCGGTTTCGCCTCCGGTCCAGGCGTCTCGGTCGCCCTGCCCATACCTTCTGGACAAGATCTTGATTCTCGGCCAAGATCCTGCGAATATGCACGCGACGATGCAGACCTCGATATGTTTAGGGGATGCACAGTATTAGATGAGAGATACGAGAAGCGCAGAGCACGGTGAGCCACATGATGGGCATTGTGGATTGGGGGGAGCAATCTGGTTCTCGCCACGGGAACAGATTCTGGGATAATCAATGACGTATGTCGACCCCGTTGGCCAGCTTCCAAGGAATGGACACGGATAGACAGACCCTGCAGCAGCCGAGGAAAAGACCGACACATTCAGCGGACTTTTGGAGGTAGGTCAATGAGCGTTGGGGGTTTGGAGGAGTTCGTGAGGGGCGATCTTCCATAACGCGCTAATTGACGTGACTCAACGCAGTTCACCGCATTGAATCTATCGACTTCCTTAAGATCAACCTCATCGAAATCACTCGATATAATAACATATGGAACATCTTCGAGACTTTCTAGACATTAATCCCTGATATATAATTTGCAATCAACAAATCAGCCCATTGACGTCTCAGTATCCTACAACATATGTTGTATGCAAGCGCAGGGATGCCAGCTGTCAGAATATGTAAAAGACGCACGAACCTCTTCACCTGCAGAAAGTGGGACGGCTTGCGCCCGCTGAATATAGCGCATGTCTGCTATTATTTTATATTGGACACATCACAATGTCATTCTCTCGATTGTATAACGGTTTAGTCCCGAGGTCTGCAGGGGCTTTATTTGTACAACGTTGTACAGGATGCACACAGAATTCGGTTATTTTTGATATATTTCCGCCATACTACATATGTACAATATCCTGAAGGAGAAGTCCTTCCCTGCCCAATTGATCCGAGGGATGTACGTACGCATCTGCATTCAAAGTTCACATCGACCACCCATTTGGTACTACATGTAGTATCCTTTCAGTGCCACAAAGTAGCCTCGAGGATACACACCGCTTCCCCAAGGATTGACTGGGCGGGGCTTGTACAAATGGCATAGATTATAGAAGATAGGAGACCAGAGACCGGAGATCAGAGATCAGAGTGGTCCTGGGTCTCCCGAGATAACGCACGGCTCGAACTGAAGGCAAAACAGGTGTAATGAGTTTATTGTCAAGGCTCAAAGACGAGAATAAACCCAATTGTGACATGGCATAAGCTTCCCGTAGTGTCTGTGGGGTTATGCGGAATGATTGCCTACTTCGTACTGGATAATCAAGGTATCTAGTGAGGCAATAAAGTTCTATTGACGTTGCGGTATGCCTATTATGGTGCTAGATACATGTATCCAATGAGATCTTATCAAGTGTACCTAACAACGTGGACTTTAAGATACTAGTCCGCATAAGTATACGTACATATGTACTGAATGGCTGCCGAGGTGCAGGAGAAGTCTCCATAGAACCAGCAAGTTGGGTCCGTTGCATGTTTCGAGAGCCTATAGGGCCAAGACGGGGTGGGGTTAATATGTGGGCTAACGGTTAGCATTACGAACTTTTTGCAGCCCGTGTTAACATTTATAACGGCCTGTCGCAACCTGGTCCTTTTCTTAATCTAAGGTCAAAGCACCTTTTACGTTAACAATTTAATAATGAGCCCCGAAGAAATTAAACCGAATTTGGTTCCCCCAGAGCCCATTGCCATCTGTGGAATGTCTGTACGTCTCCCTGGAGGCCTGCATACACCCCAACAGCTATGGGACTTCTTGGTGGCTAAAGGAGATGCCCGTGGCAAAGTGCCAAAGTCCAGATACAATGCCTCGGCATACTACTCTGACACGCAGAAACCAGGCAGCATCAAGACAGAATATGGATACTTCCTGGATGAAAGTGTTGACATTGCTTCAGTGGACACATCTTTCTTCACAATGGGAAAGTTGGAAGTTGAGCGTATGGACCCACAGCAACGGCAGATGCTGGAAGTTGCCAGGGAGTGCATGGAAGATGCCGGAGAAACGAACTGGAAAGGACGACCAATTGGCTGCTATATGGGCAGCTTTGGTGAAGATTGGCTTGAACTATATGGCAAAGAAATACAGCAGTATGGCCAGTATCGAGTGAGCGGATACGGAGATTTTATGCTGCCCAATCGAGTCTCGTATGAGATGGACCTGACAGGACCGAGGTCAGTTGATCTATATCCTTTTTCGATCTTGAGAATGAAGGTTGCTAAGTGGTATAAAGCATGGTCATACGTACTGCCTGCTCAGCAGGTCTTGTTGCACTACACGAAGCATGTCTGGCAATTTCCAGGGGTGACTGCGAGGGAGCCATTGTTGGCGGCGCCAACTTGATAATGGCACCAGGCATGACAGCTGCCATGAGTGACCAAGGCGTGATTTCACCTGATGGGTCTTGCAAGAGCTTCTCTGCCGATGCCAATGGCTATGCTCGAGGAGAGGCAATCTCTGCAATCTTCATCAAACCCTTGGCTAACGCCGTCCGGGATGGAAATCCAGTTCGAGCGGTTATCCGTTCGACAGCATCAAACAGTGACGGAAGGGGGCCTGGAATCGGCACACATGTCCCGAATGATATTGCCCACGAGGCCATGATCCGGCGCGCGTATGAGGTGGCAGGCATTGCAGATTACTCCCAGACCGCATTTGTTGAGTGCCATGGCACTGGCACCCAAGTTGGAGATCCTATCGAAACCCGAGCAGTGGGCCGGGTTTTTGGCCCTTCTGGTGGCGTCCTCATTGGGTCTGTCAAGCCCAATCTTGGTCATTCTGAAGGAGCCTCGGGGATTACATCCCTAATCAAGGCGGTACTGGCCCTGGAAAATCGTATCATCCCTCCAAATATTAAGTTTAAGGAGCCCAATCCCAATATTCAGTGGGATGAGTATGGGCTATCTGTTCCCACAGAGCCGATGCCATGGCCTGAGGCTCGGAAGGAGCGAATCAGTGTAAACTCCTTCGGAATTGGAGGTACTAACGCTCACGTTGTTCTCGATTCAGCTCAGAGCTTTGGCATCTCCCCCGTTCCCACACAGCATACCATTTTGTCACAGCTGCTTGTTTATTCCGCAAACAATGTTGAGTCATTAAAACAAATGATCTCCCACTATACAGCGTATATCCAAGAGCACCCAACCAGACTTGCCGATCTAGCGTTCACTCTGGGTAATAGGAGGGAACATCTGCCCCATCGGGCATTTTCCGTGAAAAGCTCATTGGGCCCGCTCACGACTTCAGCGCCCTCAAAAGCTGGTGAGACACCGAACATCGTCATGGTTTTCACCGGCCAGGGCGCTCAGTGGCCACAAATGGGTTGCTCCATGATCCACAACCCCGTCTATCCTGCATTTAAAAAGAGCATTCAAGATCTTGACTCACATTTGCAAACGCTCACACATGCTCCAGAATGGAGCATTGAAGAAGAGCTCTTGAAGGGCCCAGATACTAGCAGACTCGGCTCATCCGAGTTGTCCCAGCCCCTGTGCACGGCAATCCAAGTGGCCCTGGTCGACACTTTCGCTTCCGTTGGCGTTCAGCCTACTGCTGTCGTGGGCCACTCTAGCGGCGAAGTGGTAGCTGCGTACGCTGCCGGTGCCATCACGGCCAACGAAGCAATCACGATTGCGTTTTATCGAGGTCAGGTCACTAAGCTACAAACCAGACCTGGGGCCATGGCGGCTATAGGCATGGATACCGAGGAGGTCCAAGAATATCTACAGGCTGGCGTCGTCGTTGCTTGCGAAAACTCGCCTAAAAGTGTTACCCTCGCGGGTGATACACATGCTATTGAAAATGCAGTTGCCCTGGTTAAGAGGGCCCACCCCAATGTCCTGGCCAGACAGTTGAAAGTCGACAAGGCGTACCACTCTCATCATATGGCTGAAATAGGCAATGAGTACTATGCTTTGATTGAACGTGAAATATGCCCCAAGGCTCCAAATAAGTTGTTCTTCAGCAGTGTTGAGAACAAACTGTTCACCGAAGCCCAGAATTTCGGGCCCAAATACTGGCAGATGAACCTGCAGTCCCCAGTGCTCTTCCGCTCGTCTGTCTCATCTATAGTCAAGCATCAGATTGCGAAGAACATGGTGCTACTTGAAATTGGACCGCATTCCGCTCTTGCGGGTCCCTTGCGACAGACCCAGGCTCATCTTTCCTCTTCTTCACCTTATATTTCTACATTCGTTCGCAACCAGGACAGTACAGAATCCTTCCTGAACGCCATTGGGCAGCTGCATGTTCTAAACGCTGTCTCCAAATTGGATAAGGTCATTTGCGAGGGCTCTACTCTCCCAGATCTTCCAAGGTACCCATGGAATCACTCGAAAAGATTCTGGTATGAGTCTCGACTGAGCAAGGAGTGGAGACACCGCGAGCACAAGTATCACGATCTTCTTGGTGTCCGGGTAACTGAGAGCCCTGATTTTCATCCTCTTTTCCGAAATCTCTTTCACTTGGACAATGCCCCGTGGATTCGTGACCACAAGGTCGGCGATGATATTGTATTCCCCTTCGCTGGGTATGCTGCGATGATTGGCGAGGCTGTGAGACAGCTGACCGGGGTTAATGAAGCATTCACACTACGCAATATCACTGTCAGCACTGCTCTTGTCTTGAATGAAGGCCCGCCAGTTGAGATCATGACAACACTACATCGCCATCGATTGACTGATTCCCTTGACAGTGAGTGGTGGGAATTTACTATCGCCTCCCAGAACGGAACTAGTTGGACCAAAAACTGCTCGGGCGAGGTTAGATCGCATAGCGAACACCTTGAAGATATAGAAAAGAAGGCTCCTCTTGTGCGAAAGGTTAATACGCACCGTTGCTACCATTCTATGGCAATGTCTGGACTCAACTTTGGGCCATCATTTCAACGGCTCGACCATGTCCGGTCAGACACTGTCACGCAGAATGCGACGTCCGAACTTGTTGCAAAAGAGACTGATGGGGAAAAATATCATCTGCACCCCACGATCATCGATGCCTCACTGCAGCTGCTCAGTGTGGCTGCTTCCAAGGGATATGCCGAACAGATAACCAACATAATGGTTCCTACTTACATTCAAGAAATGTCCATCTACCGCTCTTATGGGAATGTTCAGGTCCAAGCTTCCGCATCCTACACCCCGAACGGCTCCATCGTCGGTAGTGGCCAGTGTATTACTGCAGGAGGCAAGGTTGCTTTACGCAGTTCTGGAATTAGACTCTCTGTTCTCGATCATCAGGACTCTGACAAGGCGGACGACGCCACTGCCTGTGCAGAATGGGCTCCCCATATCGACTTCCTGGACGTCAATACTCTCATCAAGCCATTAATTGACCGCAGTGACTACATGCCCACTTTGACAGATCTATCTCATCTATGCATGGTTTACACGCAGCGTATCATTGGGGAACTGGATACTCCAATCAGCCACATGCACAGATATCGATCATGGATTGATCAGCACCTCCTGTCCGTGGATCTGCGGAGCCTCCAAATTCACGACAATGGTGCCATTGAGCATCGAGTGAAGGAACTTGTTCACCAGATCTCCCAAACCAAGGGCGCCCATCTTGCCGTTGGTATCGAGGTGGTTTTCAACAACGTCCAGAAGATTTTCACCGGGGAGGCCGATGCTTTGGATCTCCTTTTAGCCGATGACATATTGGCCAACGTCTATAATGCCATGGATCAGTGCGATATTTCCAGATTCATCAGGCGATTGAGTCATAGCAAGCCTAATCTGCGTATCCTCGAAATAGGAGCCGGAACTGGCGGGTCCACAGCTAATCTCCTGAAGCTGTTGACACCTGGGGACAGGAAGCTATACACGAGTTACACATTCACTGATATCTCGTCTGGCTTCTTTGTTGCTGCAAAGGACCGCTTTGCCAATTACCCAAATTTCGAATACGCTACTCTCGACATTAGTAAAGATCCCTCGGATCAGGGTTTCGATGGCCACAAATACGACCTAATTCTGGCCACCAATGTCATCCACGCCACTGCATCCTTGAACGACAGTCTGAGTAATGTTCGGAAACTTCTCTCTCCCACAGGATGGTTCTTGCTCCACGAATTGACACCCACATTCAAATGGATCAACTATATCTTTGGAACTCTAGCTGGCTGGTGGTACGGCGATGCTGAGGGTCGGTCGCATGAGCCGTATATAGGTGTCGAACGCTGGGAGAGAGAACTCAAGGCCGCTGGATTCCGCACTCCCGATGCTGCAGTTTTGGATTCAGATCATCCATATCAGTTGAACGCCATGATTGTGGCTAGGCCGGAAATTGATGTCACACCCAAGAAACGCGTCACGCTCTTGACGCTCTCTGAATCGAGATGTGTTGTCACTTTGCTCCAGGCGCTAGAGGGCAGGGGATACTCCATTCATCATTCTAGGTTTGGGGAAGAGCGTTTGCCTGACGGACAAGATGTGATTGCCTTGCTTGACGATGAAGCCCCATTCTTTGAGAACATGGATAACCAACGCTTTGACGCTTTCAAGAAATTGGTGGAGGGCGTAAATGAGTGTGGTATTCTCTGGGTGACTCGTTTGTCACAAGCCCAATGTCATGACCCGAGATTTTCCCAGATCAACGGCGTAGCGCGGACGATTCGCAATGAATTGCTTGTCGACTTTGCTACTTGCGAGGTTGATAATCTTGATGTCTCTTTGGAGAAACTCATCGACGTATATGAGAAGTTCCAAGTCCGCCAGGAAGACCAGACGCTGAAGCCTGAATTCGAATATGCTATCATTGACAATACTGTCCAAGTTGGACGGTACCATCCATTCTCATTGGGAGACGAGCAAGAGACGTCGGGTTCAAATGATAGCATGGCTCTTCGGACCAGTAAACCCGGTCGCTTGGCTGCGTTACACTGGGCTTACGAGGGTATCAGAACCCTGAAAGGAGATGAGGTGGAAATTGACACGTATGCAACCGGTCTGAATTTCAAGGTAGGTCCGAAGCCAACGAGTGGATGGAACAATACATATTGATACGAGTTCAAAGGATGTCTTATGTGCCATAGGCATTGTCGAAGCGAAAGATAATGAATTTGGCCATGAAGGCGCCGGCATAGTCCGCAGCATCGGTCCCGAAGTTCAAGGTCTGAAGGTCGGTGATCGCGTTATGGTCGTCGGAAGCTGTTTATTTGGGACACGATTAGTTCTCTCCGAGGCCCTTTGCGAGAAGATCCCAGGTGGCTTAAGCTTCAATGATGCGGCTACCATGCCTTGCGTGTTCAGTACATCACTGTACTCCATCTTCGACGTTGGAAATCTGAGGAAAGGACAGGTTTGTGCCCCCTTGACCATCTGACTTTTTTGGGTCGAGTTTTGACGTGTTATTATAGTCCATTCTTATTCACAGTGCCTGCGGTGGGGTTGGCATTGCGACCATTCAGCTTGCTCAAATGGTTGGTGCGGAGATTTACGCAACTGTTGGTAACGAGGAGAAGGCCAAGTATCTCATGGACGCATTTGGCCTTCCGCGGAACAGAATCCTCAACTCCCGTAATACCTCGTTTGTCGAGGACATCATGCGGGAGACAAACGGACAGGGCGTCGATTTGGCATTGAACTCATTGTCTGGTGAACTACTTCATGCTACATGGAAGTGCATTGCACCTTTTGGAAAGATGGTCGAGATTGGCAAGCGAGACTTGATTGGCTCCGGAAAGCTTGATATGACACCTTTCTTAGATAACCGGAGCTACTGCTGTGTCGATTTGGATCAAATTTGTTCCAGAAAGCCGACCCTTGCAAAGAAGTATGTGTCATCAATCAAGGGGATGCAAATGTGTGAGAGTCGATAAACTGATAATCATACAGACTGCTAAAGGAAATTGTAGAACTACTGAGAGAGCGCTACATCTCCCCTATCCGACCCATCAAAGTCTTTAGTTCCGATGGAATACACGCCGCCTTCCGTTACATGCAGCAAGGTACTCATCTAGGAAAGATCGTCGTGTCGATGCGTGATGCTTCAGGTCAGGTCAGCGCAGTCCAAGATACCCAGCAACGGAAAAAGCCCATCCAACTCAACAGTTCTGGTGCATACCTGCTCGTAGGTGGCCTTGGGGGCCTGGGACAGGCTATATCTACGTGGATGGTCCAATCCGGAGCTCGTCATCTCATATATCTTTCCCGAACTGCGGGTTCAAGTGAAACCCACCGGGAGTTTGCCCAAGAGCTTGCCAGTATGGACTGCCGCGTCGACTTTATTCAAGGTACCGTGTCCAACATAGAAGATGTGACCACCGCCATCTCACGGGCTCAAGGCCGGCTTCGGGGTATCTTGCAGATGTCTATGATGCTTTGTGATCGGAGCTTCGCACGCATGACACTGGAAGAGTGGAACACCGCTGTTGATCCGAAGGTCAAGGGCACGTGGAATCTTCATAATGCTTCGGTATCTGCCAATGCGGAACTTGACTTCTTTGTTCTATTCAGTTCGGTGTCTGGTGTCTTTGGACTTCCTGGTCAGATCAACTATGCCGGTGCGAACACATTCTTGGATGCCTTTTCTCGGTACAGGTTGAGTTTGGGATTACCGGCTTGCGCTATCGATATCGGTATCGTTGAGGGAGTAGGTTATGCTGCCGAGCAGGAGGAAGTTTTACAAAAGCTCAAAGCTGCTGGTGGCCTGGGAAATACAGTCTCAGTGGGCGAGCTTTTGAGCGCGGTAGAGGCAGCGATGACATCTATTCCAAATATGTCGAGACCCGAAGCAAGCAACTTCGGCGTTGGGATTCGTCCCAACTTCCCCCTCACAGATCAAAGAAATCGTTTGATCTGGAAGAAGGACATCCGAATGTCGGTGTTTCATAATACTGCAAGCGCCGGAACCACCGTGGTCTCTGCATCCGGCACTAGCTTGGAGGCCTTCATCACACAGGTCAAGGGCGATGCCGCGCTATTAAGCCAACCTGATTCCTCTCAAATACTCGCTGTGGAAATTGGAAAGAAGATATTTAGTTTCTTATTGAAGTCAGAAGAAGAGCTGGTGACGTCTTGCTCCTTGTCCGAGCTGGGAATGGATTCCCTCGTGGCAATTGAGGTAAAACAGTGGTGGAAGGCGACATTTGGGTTCGATATAAGTGTCCTCGAGTTGATGGGAATGGGCTCCCTCGATATGCTCGGGCATCACGCTGCTCATGGCATGCTTAAACTGTTCCATGGTGTGCAACAGCAAGTTGATTGAGTGACATGTGATTAGGTATAATTATAATTCGGTCCAGGTGTGAGATAGGTCTTAGCAGTGTATTGAAAGAACAAACCTGCGAAATAAAATCAACAAGAATAGTGGGCCGCTTACGCGGCCGTAGTCTTCTTAGTGGTCTTCTCAGATGGTCTTTTTTGATGCCTGGTTATCTAGATATTTTCTCCCCCTTCTCGCTTGTTGGGTAGACAGAAAAAGGGGTAGGAGGCTTAATTTGAGAAAGCGACTTTCCAATGTATAATATTTGATGAGATATAGCAAACAGCCTGGTCTCGCCGCTTTCCACAGTTTATTCTCCTTTAAACCCCAGGAATGCTGCGGCTTAGAAGCGCTTGTCGAGGAATATAAACTATACCACATTAACCGTTTCTATTTATTTTTCTATTCAGACTTGATGTGATACCTCATGCTGAGGAAGTCGGAACATCGTTGCCCAAATTCCCAATGACACAGCCAGCATAGCGAGCAAGATCGGCTGCAGCACTGTCACTCCCTTAGCCTGAGCAATAGCGCCAATCATGAAAGGGAAAACAGCACCACCACCCATAGAAAAGGCAGCCGCAAATCCAATAGCAGCAACGTGAAGATTCTTCGGTAGCAATCTTGTCGCCACGATCACAACCCCGGGGAAGATAGTCCCCATAAAGAATCCAACAAATGCAACCGCAACCGCGGACACGATGAACTCGGGCACGAGCCAGAAGATGAGCTCAAGAGCAATTGCAAGCAAGATGTATATAGCAATGGACAGCTTCTCTCCAATTCGTGGTGACACAAATCCTAGCACGAATCGACCGACTGTGATGCCGAGCCAGAAGCCTGTCTCTGCCATTCCGGAATCGAACGGATCGCCGTGTCGGACGTTCGTCATGAATACAACAATCCAACCACCGATTGCTACCTCAATTCCGCCATACAGGAAGAGGAAGATGGCGCATATCCAGGTGACCTTATATGTGAGGGCAAGACGTGTTTGAGAGAATGCTCCTCCTCTGCCTGGGAAACCTGGGTTCTCTTCTTGATATTTGCTCCCAGTTTCAGCCCAAAAAGCGGCAGTGGAGTAAATTAGGGCAATAAAAGCTGCTCCGGTCTATATTTCCTCGTTAGTTCGTCGATACCGAGTGGTTGCAAAGAGGACCGAGATACCATCAGGTAGTAATAACAATACCATTCCCATCCAGCTTTGGTAATTAAACTCGTAGCGACCAGAGGGCTTATTGTGGCCCCAACGCCATAAAATCCATGGAAGAAACCGAGCACTTCATGGGAGTTCGCCATGTTCCCGATCCATACATTCCATGCCGCATTGTGAAATCCGCTCCCCAACCCAACCAGAACATACATAATCACCAGTACTGGAAAGGGTGGGTGAAGAGATATGACTGCAAATGCAATCACATGGCAAGTCGGAGCAATTATTGTGATTCCTCGTCTGCCGAGAGTCTGGTGGACTAAGTTGCTCAGGATAGCGGATACGGTATATCCCACAAAAGGCGAGAGGAACACTAAGGAAACGACCGTATAGCTTTTCTGATAGTAAGCCTCTAGCTGAAGAGTTCGAATAGGATGGTCAGCTCTTTTATACAGGGATCAGGTAAAGCTGAGTTGGTGACACAAACATAGGGAATGATTGCTCCATATGCAGCATCATTGGACCCCATCACAAATGCACACCAAAACGTGGCAGTCACCTTCCATATGGTTGTTTTTGACTCATTCCATCTTGGTGCGACGTTTACAGCATGCAAAGGTGGTGTTTCATCGGTCTCCGAAGGCGTAGCTTCCGGCGTATACTGGTATCCGGCAGGTTCGCCTGGTGTTGGTGGCCAAGATGAGCGAGGGCTCGAGCCCGCACTTCTACTCATTTTTTGTAGTGTCACTTCCAAGGATGCAAAGTTGCAGGTGGGAGTGAGAATTGTAAGATGGAGGGGCTACCTATATGGAACATCCATGTAACCGTGCGGGGGAACCAACTGGCGAATGTAACCCCGATGTCCTATATGTGTAGGTCTATAGAGCTATCCCTGCCCATGAACATGCTACATGAGTTCCCTATGGTTCCAGTTCCACAACTACCGTTCTAATTGTATTACTTCTAATTCACATCCAACTAAGACGTCTAATAATAATAGTGGAAGTTCAACAGCAGCATTCCGAACTTTACATACAACCCCGGAGGCCAAATGACGATATAAGAGGCTATCAAGGGCGCCAAGATAGAAGGAGAAGTATACACCATAGAATCCTCTCAGTCTCCAAATGTTGGAAATCATGAAAAGTAGCATAATAAATATAATCAACGCTGGTCACGTGGTGGTATTCCCATCAGCGCGTGTTCACCCGACCTCGGATGTCTCCAAGTCTTCAACTTTTCCATCTTAGGAAAAAGCCACGTCACATCAGCGTTTTCGAGTTGAAATGGCCGCAACTTCGCAGATCTCCCCCCAAAAGCCCAATCTAAAGGAGTTCCTTCAGCCCCTCCGGGTCGAACTTGAGACCTTGTATGATTTATCCTGTCGGCTGTCATCGTCTTATAAAAAGTTGGCCGCGGAATCTTCAGAACACTTTATTCCAACGGCTCTTACCCGTCTTCCAACAGGTCATGAAACGGGACGCTATCTTGCTGTCTATTTTGGTCTATATTACCTCCGTGTGGCCTTCATCGATCTCCTAGGAGATCAACAGGTCGAAGGACACGCACGTGTACGACGCACATTAGAGAAGGCATGGCCTATTGAAGCCCACCTACGAAAGGATCAAACTATTGACCTGTTCACGTGGATTGGAGACTGTATCGCCGAGGTCGTGGCAGACAGACTGGCCAACCCAAGTGAAGAGCGGATTGACCAAATAACAACAGGCATTTCCTTTTGTCTTCCTATAAAGTATAGTTACGCCCCTCAGACTCGGCTGTGTGTTCCTGCGGCTAATCTATTGTAGACAAGATTCCCTTGACGAAGCTATCTTGATGCCAACAGGGAAAGGCTTTTCTCTAAACTCAGACCTCAATCTCCGCCAAGCCTTGCTGAATGGATATGCACGCCACACATATTCAACTCATGGAGATGAGATGAACATGCCCGCTAAACGTCGCAGGCTGTTTTCGCTTCCTAAATTGAAAGTCGCAGTCATGATCAATGATACGACAGCGACCCTTGCTTCATTGGCGTACTCTATCCCTTCCTTGCCCAACACCCGTGTTGCTATGGGCCTGATCGTGGGTGCGGGATGCAACACGACCGTTCCCATGAAACTTGCCGACTTGCATGAATCCAAAACTAAGAGCATTCTTGAAAAACACCCTGACGCACAGGAAACACTCATCTCGACTGAATGGACTCTCTCCACTGCAGCGGCTTCGTTCGACGAGCTTGGTATTCGAACGAAATGGGACCTTCAGCTGGATAAAAATTGTAAAAGACCCGGCTTCCAGCCAATGGAATATATGGTCGGCGGTGGATACACTGGCGAGCTCGTCCGCATCGTCTGTTATGATTGGTTCCATGCGGTTCTGGGAATACAACGCTCTGAGTTACCGTTGAAGTTAGTTGAGGAATATTCTCTTTCAACAGACTACCTCTCCCTTGTCGTTGCCTCTTCTATGTCCGATGAGCGCTTAGCAAGCGAGTTGTCCAAGACACTTCAACCATCTCCTGAGAGTGATTGGACCTGGTCGCCTGAATATGCCCGTGATATTCGGGCCATTGCCTCGGCTGTGCAGGATCGAGCGGCTTCTTTGGTGGCGTCTGCCGTTGTTGGTCTCCTAGACTGCATAGATGAAGTCCAATTATGCAACACAGCGCCCAAGTGCGTCAATGGGGAACAAATCAATACGGAAACTAGAGCTACTGAGGAAAAGGGCTCCGAATCGGTCTCATTGCCAACGTCAGGTTGGAATAGCGGGCCCGAGGAGCTCGCCGTGGCATTCTCCGGTGGAGTGATCCAACACTATCCTCACTACAAAGAAAATGTACAGAGATATATTGATCGCCTTCTACTGCGGGCTGGTCCTCAAGTAGGAGGGAAGAGTGTCTTCTTGCGAGAGGCCAGTGATGGCGGGATCATTGGAACTGGTGTCCTTGCAGGAACGGCATCAGGGGAAATTGGGGAAATCAAGGCTACCACTCTACCGCTAATTGATAGTCATATAGATGCATTATAAAATATATATCTCGCGTTCCCGCCATCCCCCCCGGGCTTCACTCACAAGAGAAAAACAACCCCAGCCCACTTTGGCCGCCGATATCGGTACATTTCCATGTCATTCCGTCAAGTAAACCACTTGTTTATGCTAATGTCAAATGAATCTACTTCAAAATTTGTGTAGAGCCTGCTAGCTAGCATTTCATTGCGGAGCCTCACAAATCTTGCGGTTGGAGTCCGCCAAGAACGCTAAATCCACGATTAAGACTTTTCCTTTTCTTTCATGGCTATCCCACCCTCGAATAATCACAATGAAGTTCTTCGATGTGAGCAAATATCTTCCATTATTTCTAGAAATTTGACTAATACTGGCGAGAGGTCGCTGTCACATTCACCGCAGACCAATTCCAAGGAATCTACCGCGGAAAGCAATATCACGAACCAGATTTTGAAGAAGTCCTGAAAAGAGCCCGAGACCATGGATGTGAAAAGATCATGCTCACCACCATGACTCTGGGAGGCGCAAAACAAAACCTTCAGGCAACGAGGGAGTTCCCCACGATGTGCAAAATGACCTTGGGCGTGCATCCTTACCATGCCGCGGAGATCTATGAACAACCAGGATCACAATATCTCAACTCGCTGCGCGAACTTGGTGAAATGCTTTTAGCTGAGAATCCCTCGCCCCTAGCTGCGTTCGGGGAAATCGGGTTGGACTACGAATACCTGGAGCGGGCCGATAAGGAAACACAGCAACGCGCATTTCGCGAGCAATTGGAGCTGGCCGTGCAATTTCAATTACCGCTGTTCTTGCATGTTCGTGAATCAGCTGAAGACTTTGTTTCTATCATCAAGCCTTTTCTGCCAAGACTGCCGCGTGGCGGGCTGGTGCATTCTTTTGCGGGGACGAAGGGGGAGATGCTCCAGCTTGTGGAACTCGGTCTTGAGATTAGTGTCAATGGTGTCTCATTCCGTACGGATGAACAGTTGGAAATGGTTAGAAATGTTCCATTGGACAAGTTGCAATTGGAGACTGATGCCCCGTGGTGCGAGGTTTTGTCTAATGACCCCAAAATCGCGGCTTACTTGGAAACTGCGAGGCCTTTGCCAGCGAGTCGGAAACATAACAAGTTTATACTGGGGCAAATGGTTAAGACACGCAACGAAAGTTGTTTCATGGAGCATGTGGGTTTGGTTGTGGCGGGTTTGAAGGGTGTCACCTTGGAAGAAGTCGTTGAGGCTGCTTGGAATAATAGTAGCCGGATGTTCTGGTTGTGAACATGCATATTTTTTGAACCAATGTATGTTTTCTGCTCCGTAACGAGGAAAGGTACAGAAAGGTTTAAGGAACGATATATAAATATATCTTAGATATCTTTCCCTAAACAGCCACCCTTTCTCCTTTTTATAATAGATATTCACTCGGTTATAGTCGAAAGACAGTTAGGTGCTAACCAGGTGGTTCGGTGGTAACAAAAAGAAAATTAGAAAGCACCGAGTGGGCCGATACTTCACGATATCTGCCGATATTGCAATCGCACGCTCTCCCGATGAGGTACCGGTGCTCCTATTTTGAACAGACCTTCATTTTGGAATCAATACACAGATCGGACTTGGCGGGGCCTTTTCTTAATTTCTTCTAAGGTCTAAACCCCGATCTGGATGTACGAGGCTAGTTAAATAATTCGAGTTACCGACATTTCAAATTAAACTATAGCATATTCAACCAGTGGAGCAATACATAGTACTCCGAACTGCAACGTGCTTCCCGCAGCGATAAGCTTTTCCACATGAATATAGAAGACATCCTGCTAGATTTAATGTGGATGTAAACAAAGCCCCTGGCTTAGGGAATCATGATTGGTACCATGGATAGGCATGCAGGGGGTGAGACAGGGGTTTCGACAACCCCTTAGGGCTTGCCCCGGCCTTGAGACAGAGCCCCAGACTGGTTGTACTGCATAACCCACGACTGGATGGAAGGAACCATGTAGACAGAATGGAGTTTGTGTCGATCCCGGGACTTGATTGCCGGACAAATTGATATTCATAAATAATTGTGACGCGTCCTTTTTGCCTTCCTGACATTATGTCAAGATTCCTGAACAGAACTTAGCTCGCGGGGATTAATACAGGTTGGAATGAAGGAAGACATGGTGGCTTCCTTTTCATAATTGATCCCTCAGAGCCCATTTTATTTACAATCCAATTGCCTCTCAAGTCGTTGCCACTAAACAGCGGGGTTTGCTTTGCTGGTGATCTAGGTATCTAAACAAAAAAACAAGGTCGAGGTAATATGTGTGTCACTTTCCTAATGCATGTACCAGATACAACTTAGACCCATTGATTCTGTTAATCTCAATAGGTTTCCCTTAACTTCTTATGCGAAGATAAGCATATATGGTGGCGGAGGGCTACGGTTTGTTGACATTCTTTACGTTGCGAGGCATCACTAGAGTATTAGCTCATGGGCAAAGGCCGCAGCATGATGGTATCTGCCATTCCTACGTGGAGTTATGCGGAATGTTATGGATCACTGCCCATGTATTTATACTAATCGTTGTCGACAACCCGGACTTTCCTCCGTTTCCCTAAGCCTCTATATTCTAATTATTGACCTTAGTGGTTAAGTGCTTAGTATTATATCGAGAGATCAAAAGTCGAGGTATATAAAAAAAAGTTCTCAAAGACGCTGTGAGTGGCGCGCTGGCAACTGCTTGGTTCTTTCCTCGGGCATTCTTTCGATGTTGCCATTATCAGACACATTTGAGACTAACACGCGGCATAGAAACACATCAATCACAATGAAGGGCACATTGATCCTCTCTGGCCTTCTGGCCACGACTGTATCGGCTCACATGCAGCTGAGCAAGCCATACCCTATCCGCAGTCCCCTCAACAAGGACGCCAAGGGCGAGAAGGATTACTCTTACACTAATCCTCTCTCCACCTCGGGCAGCGACTACCCATGCAAAGGATACGTCGATGATGACTTTGAGGCCGTGGCTACATGGCAACCAGGCTCTTCCCAAGAGATGCAGCTCGAAGGAAGTGCCGTCCATGACGGCGGCTCATGTCAGCTCGCCCTGACTTATGACAAGGGTAAGACCTTCAAGGTCATTGAGTCGATTGAGGGTGACTGCCCTATTGCTAAGAAGTACCAATTCGAGGTCCCGTCGGACGCACCAAGTGGTGATGCGCTCTTCGCTTGGACATGGTTCAATAAGGTCGGCAACCGTGAGATGTACATGAACTGTGCTATGGTCAAAATTGGTGGCTCCGGAAACCGTGAGGCCAAGGAGGCCCCCAAGCAGACCCTGGACGAGAAGAACACAGAAAAGGACCACAACAACAAGGCAAACGACCAGACTCCTAACAACAAGCCCAATAGCCACACCACAAACGCCAAGAGCAGCTTCGATAGCCTCCCTGATCTCTTCGTTGCCAACGTCAACCAGGCTGGCAAGTGTGTGACCATCGAGGGCGAGGCTGTTCACTTCCCCAAGCCCGGCCCCAACCTCATCGGTAAGGCTGATGGCCCTGGCTACAAGTGCTCCGACCATGCTCCCTTCCTCGATAGCGGCTCCAAGTCCGAGTCCACAAGCACATCGTCCTCCAAGTCCGAGACCAAGTCCGAGACGAAGCCCACCACCACTAGCACCTCGTCTACCACCGAGTCTGAGAAAAAGTCCTCCGCCACCAGCACTTCCTCCTTCACTACTACTGCCAAGGAGGCGTCCAAAGTTGCCAAGGTCTTCGGCACTCCCTCCGCCGCCGCTGACTCCCGTGTGTTCTCCACCGAGGCCTCTACCAACAACCAGTTCGTCAATTACGTTGGTCAATGGTCCTGCCACTCTGGGGATATCATCTGTTCACCTGATGGGTTGAGCTTTGCCATGTGCACTCACGGAAAACCCATCTTCATGGGCCCCGTCGCTGCAGGTACTATTTGCCGCTGGGGGGCTATCACTGCTCGCCAGTAAAGGCGTTCCTTTTCTACTTTTATTTCTCTTGCCGATTGACTTCTTTTTCTTTTCTTTTGGATACATCCCGGTGGATATTCCAAGTTATACCAGTTCATAGAGTGACCAGTCGAGTGAAGTGCGCTCGCCACTTTCGGTCTTCGGATTTTGACAGTTGATGTTTCTTTTCAGCCTGGCTTTGGGCGCTCTGTAATGTTTCTCTTATCCTTTACCCATGACCTGTTAAGCGATGAGCTAGTTGATGTCCCTATGTTGACGGTATTGCCATGCCAAAGTACCTAATGATCCTGCTTGTTAATTTAAAATTTGGACCTTGGTTATGCTATAAACTCATTTCTTGTAATCTTCCGCAGGGAATGATATAGTCTTTCCATAGATTACTTGCGCATCAGACATCCAAATTGCCAGGATACTATCCAAATAGCAAGGTCAAATAGCGATTTCAGTCTCTGTCTTGGATAATGCTCTCTTAGGTGATATAATGCTCGAAAGCTTCAGGGACACTTTCATTATATGCTTTCTCATAGTACCATTACTCGAGGTAAATTTATGTATGTAAATTTACAATGTTACATGCAATTATGATTTCAATGTTGTTTCTTAGAAATAATCTTTATTTTTCCAATTATAGATCTAGCATTTGGTCCAGCATTAAACAAATGGAATCAGACTTATACTTGTAATTTGTGTCTTAGGATCTAACCTTGGAAGGATCCCGATGATTTGTCGGAATAGTATGCCTCAAAGAGTTTCTACATCGCATTCAATCAAAGCATTGCAGAAGTAGCCAACATAAGCTATCAATTCTGTAGGTGAAGGCACTACGTTGTGATTTTGGCTTGCAGATGAGTACTTGCAAGCAGCATATAGTCCCACCCAAGCCCCGATGTGAGCGCTGAGGCTGACGAGCATAGGCATAGGTATCCATTGTTTGCACCACACCAGATGCATCATTATTTAGCTCAGTATGTCAAAAAAAAAAGTATAGGGAACTCAGAGGAGTTGTGGTGTCCAGAACACGCGAAATGTTATTCTCGGCTGCCCCCGCGGGTAGTGCCGGCTTCCGGGGGCGGTGGGGCCGGTAGGGCCGGTAACAATACCCGGAGATATCCGAAGATGTCCCCCGGCCCGTGCCCGTAGCCACCCAAGTTTTGTTTACTTCTGTCTTCTCTGTCTACCTAAATCTCTACATCTCACTTCTACTCATCACACTACTTTCATCGAATTATCCAGATGTATCCTACCATCCTACCATCCTACCATCTTCTTTATGGCAATCTTCTGGTCAAAGCTGAAGGCTTTGACCCAAATGTACCCATTTGAATAAGAGCAAAGGTTCATTGCTCGAGTAAATCAATTGCCCAACTGTAAGTGCATTGTCATTTATTACCAGTTCCCTGTGGCGACAAAGTTTTCAAACACTAACGAAGATACTCGTTATAAGACAGGTGATCTCGTGCGATACAGCATGGGTGGCTCGCTGCGCTATATACCGCAAGGTCTTGCAGGTCAAGGTCTGCGACATGTCAACATGTCGACAAAAATCAACAGCTGTATAGGAAGGTGATTGATCACGGACCTGTGTTCCGAGGCATACATCGTCGGCGAGTCTATGTGAAGATTGATGGCATTGAAAGTACCAACAATATTCCACACTACCTACAGAGGTGGCTGTGGACAAAGTGACGAACAGGGAATAGAGCTCTGGGGAACTTTCACGGTCAATCCATGAGATCCTTGGAGATCAAACGAAAGCAACAACCAAAAAACAAGGGATCATACTCACATTGAAAGCACCGCCAATGGTTTCTACTGGCGACTACTATAATGGCTGTCGACTCGCTACCAAGCAGGGATTAGGGCTCTGCGGTGACCTTCGCGACCTTGTCTATCAACAAGCCCCTTGAAGAGTAAACAACAAAAGACAATTTCAATATGCGCATTTCCTATACGCCCTACAATCCATACTCTTTCCATATCTTCTCCAAAGAACCCGCTTTCCCTGACGAATCACTGCTATACTCGACCCATGTGTGACAACTGTTCATTCGTGACACTACGTTCGGTCGGATGTCGGCAGCGAGGCCCGGACTACTGGAAGGAGCAAGTCAAGGGTATCCAAATTACTCATGTCGCTCTACACCTCCATCTATGTCGTTTTACCTTCCCTCCCATTTTCGGAGCAGAGAAGCGGATTTACTCTTTCAAAGTCTTCTGCGGGAAATTGCAAACAACATTCTCGAAGAAGAGTTGGGCACAGATCCATACAAGATACTCGCATGTACACAAGGACAGGAGTTCATCGGACAGACCAGCTGCACTCGCTTGCAGTTGATACAAAGGTTTTTGTTCAATGGTCACCGTCCATTTATATCTGAATCGCGATTCGGATCGTAGGAGGCATTGGTTCCTCGCAGGGGTGATGGCCTTGGAAATTATAGGCTGCGCCCTACATGATATCTTTCGGTTGCTGTTAAAATTAATGGGAGACTATGCCAACCGAATGAGAAGCCCAACGATATCCACTAGGTATTTCTTGGTGCCTGCTACTTCCAAGTTATCGACGAGAAGTCTATGGTAACTGACACCTCACTGCTCTTTTACAGCTACCCATCAGTCATCACAACCCTCAAAACCAATTTATGGCATCGCGCAGATACGCTCTTCTGGTTCGACCAACGGTCCTAGGAGATCCGCAACAGAGGAACCGCCATTTCGGTCGCCTGATTGCAATCCTCACACGGATTTCTTGCACCTTCCTTCCCAGAGGCCAGTGGTATCCTACATACGACCAAAAGCCTCAAAGAGTTCTACATCGCATTCAACCAAAGCATTCTACGTGAAGTCCTCTGATGCGAATGTGCTCTCTTGACTGCTGCTCTCGTCTGGCTCAGAGTAGACCAGCGTTCGAGTGCTTGGCCACCTCCAGAGTGCCAGATCCATGCCGATTCTGAACCCATGGCCTCTCGTGCGCGGGGGAGATATACAGGCCAGTGGGTATACAACCCTCATGGTAAAACAAAGAACCATATTCGGTGTCTTCAACTTTCCGCGGGCATGTTACAAACAATCTTCTTGAATGCCTATTCGGGTGGAAAAGGTCAATTTCGTGGTGTCGCCAAAAGATATCGCCATCGGACAGACCATGTGTTACACGCGCTTTGAGAGGAAATCAAGCGTGATGTGGTGACTCTGGCTGTCTTCTCTCATCTCGCTTCTGACCCTGAGTTCTCAGGGCAAATTCTGAAGTCTTGGGCCGAAGTCTTGGGCCTTAGAGATGCTGCCTATTCTCACCTCGGGCTATGGTAGGAATCCCGAGGCCGAGGAATGATTATATAGTCTTGCTCTATCTAGATATAGGTGCTTGCCTTGTCTCCTATCGCTTCTGTGCCGAATGCCGGGAACGATCAGGCGACCTTGTGCCATGGGGTCTACGCGGAGCCCTAGAGATAGACTATGTACTCCACACGCTTTGGGGAGGAAATCAAGCCTGATGTGGTGAGTCGGGCTGTCTTGTCTAATCTCGCTTCTGACCCTGAGTTCTCAGGGCAAATTCTGAAGCCTTGGGCCTTAGAGATGCTGCCTATTCTCACTTCGGGCCATGGTAAGAATCTCGAGGCCGAGGAATGATTCTATAGTCTTGCTCTATCTAGATATAGGTGCTTGCCTTGTCTCCTATCGCTTCGATGCCGAATGCTGGTAATAACCAGGCGACCTTGTGCCATGGGGTCTGGTCTAGACCCCGGAGAGTTCATTGCCTCCTCATGGTCCACAGAAAGAGTCACGCGGACGAATTTTGTGATCTTGGATTCCTCTTCTAGTCCCTGAAGAGCGTAGCTGCAGGTCTATCGGCCCCATCCAGCGGGCAAGCTCTAGTCATCAAAACTAGGTTGTTTGACTTTCCAGCCAGTCAGCTCGCGTCACAAACTATCGACGTCCTTCTTCGTATCATTGGTTCTGAGCACGTAGGAGTGGCTACTCTCCATACCCGTGCAGACGTTGGGGATATGGAATGGGGACGCTCCCGTCTCCGGTCGAATCTCCCCTACGGACAAGACGTTCTTCCAAAGGAATTTGTTATATATCAAATCGCATTTAGATCGATCCTAGCACTGAGTCACGAGGCCTGTTCCTGTTTTGATCTTGCGACCACAGATTTTACTCGGTGTTTTCAGTTACTTTATCTGGTTTTGCATTGAACATCCAACCTCGTCCAGTTCATTGCTCGACTTCATTTCATGTACATTATAGAGAATACATACGAGTTTTCTTCACCACCTGGCTTATCATCTCTTTACCATGTTTCCAAGGCGTGATTGGAAAACCCATGAGAAGGTACTCGACTGCTCAGACAACCTATCGCACTTATCCATAGATATTGTCGTCCGAACGGGGTAAACAACGCGGGGGAGATAAGCATTGGCTGGCGTGCGAGTGTCAAGCCTAGCGTGGATGTAAACCGTGCCTCGTAAAGGACAATCAGTCATTTCTTCGCCACATGATCGAATCCGGTACGTTGCCACGTATTGACGCATGCGGAAAGTGAGGCTGAAAGCCATTGTTGCCGAAGAACAAGAAACTCAAATCTACATATGTAAGATCCCTTTCAAGGTTCCTGGATGTAGAAGCATACATATTCATAAAGCAGTATTGTATCGTATTGATTAATATTAAATGTGACCAGCTAGTCTCGAAAGACCCAAGTATGCTCGCCAGATATCCTCCATCATTTTGTACAATCCAATCTAATCACAAACATAGCAGTGGTATCTTGGCTCTTAAATAACATAAAAGGGGCATAGAATCATCGACCAGTGCACGAGCACCACTTCACTCAGATAAAAATACTCGGAACAGTAAGTATCCTACACCAGCGACCTAGATGTTGCCAGTGTACGCCGAGTTACCGTAGCCATAGCTACCAGCAGCCGGGGTAGCAGCCGGGGCATTAACGGTGTTCTTGTTCTTGCCCCAAGAGCCGAACCATCCCTTCTCGGTCTTAGGCTCGCCGCCCATCTCGACCTCATAGGGGGTTGGGTGGCCGGGCAGGGCATCGGCGCCGCCGACGGGGGCCTCGGGGTTGTTCTTGTTGCGGCGCCAGAAGGCCTTGCGGCTACCGTGGGTGTAGCCGTTAGTGGGGGAGGGACCGAAACGCTTCTCGCGCTTGTGGTGACGGGCGAGAAGGATTTGGAAAAGGATGGAGGTCAAGTAGAAGAAACTGGGCGATAAGTTAGCATATTCATATCTATATGTAGATACGAATGAAGATCAGTTCACTAATCTAGGATCGACTCACATCCCGATAACCGCCACTGCGAAAACGACCTTCTCCAGTTTGCAGGCCATGCCGAATTTCAGACCCTTGGAAGCAGTGTCATCATTAGCATTGCCCGTGCCCATTGGGGTGTCTACTGTTCCGGTGCATTGGCCAACGCCCTTGCGGGTAAGGATCGCGATGGCGACCATCGCGCCCACAAAGCACACGTCCAGAGCAACGCCCAGGAATGCAAAGAAGGCCACACCGCCCAGGCAGCAGGTGAAAATGACGCCGAGCAGACTGTAGGCGGTTGCTGCGCCTGCTAAGCCTTCCACGGCCTTGATCCATGTCGCGATCGTTTGGTCATTCCTCGTCAAGACAGCCAGGAAGTACGAGAAAATGCCGAGAATGACGGCAGCATCAAGGAACTGTAGAACACGCAGTCCGAGGTTGAAAAACCGGAGGACTACCCCACCGGCTCCCATATTGTATAAGATGTATGGAAATTTTGGTGAGTATTTTGGGTATGAAGGTGAGGGTAACCGACCGTGAGGCCTAGGAGAGAATATATGAAAGAAACTCAGGCAACAGGATTTGAGCGAGTTATAACCAAAATAATTGACGATCAGTGGATGGCGGCACGTACGTCGATCCTGGGAGAAGCTGTCAGCTTAATGGCTGGCAGCCTCTGCGCCACACTCTAAATGACCCCAGGTGACCCGCTTGGTGATGTCAACCCTGGAATTCCATGGGTTGGCCAGTTACAAGGTTTCCACCTTGCTGTCTCCGGTTAGAGAATTTCGCCACCGTACCATGTGAAGATTGGAAAAATTAAATATTACCTATCTAGGTAATAGTGCCCCAGCCACACTGCCAAGACAGCTTCAATCTTTCTACTATGACCCTTACACTTTAGCCATGGATACTATCTATAGATTATTATACACAGTACGGAGTACTAAGAATATCATTGCTGCCTACTTGTATCCCAGTCTGCACATTATCAACAGTCGCCTCCTTGAATTCCACCGATACGAGGTGTTCATCGAGGCTTTCAGTTGAAAATAAGGTTAGAAAGAGCTACAATAAACTGAAAACAGCGCAGCTTAAACAATACTGTACACTATACACTATTTTAATATCCTTCCATGCGTGGCACAACTTTCATGTACCGCGACTGGTATCATCTCGTTCACCAACACCGGCCACTTGTCAGCGCCTTCAAGTTACCTATGTAGCTTATGTGTTATTGGCCCTTGCATGTGTCTGAGTTGTACTGCTATACATCGCTTATTGTAAGTATGGCGGCTGGAGTCCATTGTACGCACCCGCCACGTTAAAATGACGTCTGCACCCACCCATCCCACATGGTCTGGGTCTTCTGCGCCACGTCCACTTGCTTGTACAAACATTACAAACATAAGAGGTACAATGGGGAATATGTGATATTAAAACTGGGTCTGCCACGTATGGAATAGCATATCATCATTTTTGTGAGATAAAGGTTGCGGGAGTGATCAGAACGAGGTGTGGTCCAGCAGGGATGAGAGAAATTGAAACAACGAATATCTGCCCAGATCCTAGGCCGTGATCCGGCATAACTCCGGGCTAGCGTGTGTCACCCAACTAATTTCAAGGACACGATGCTGCTGCCCGGACGAAGCACAGCTTGAGTACATCATTGATCCCGATCTGGATAAATAGCCTGGTATCGGCCCAAGCAAGGGGGGTGGGGGGGCTTCGTGGACAGGGCAGGTCACACCAATGTAGGTCGTAGGGTGGCATCACTGCCGCAGCACATACTCTTGGGCCTGTTGATACCCATTGCCTAAAAAGCTGTACAAATCGAGCAAGCTTCCTAGGGAATCGTCAGAAATATGACATCGATACCGGATACGGAGCTTGTCGTTCAGGGATGTCTTTCAACAAGGAACGATTAGGATCTCACGTTTCAACTCACATCTTACTTCATTTGGAAATTCCAAGATCAAAAACGATACAATCTTCGACAATAGCCTGTGAGACTGCACGGTAGTGGATGGTGTCTTCTTATCGAAACCGGCTAGCAGCCCAACCTTCAGGAGTCTTGCTGACGTTGCTTTTCTTGTTCAACGAAAGCGCGGAGAATAGAATCCAGTCCTTCATTACGGCGAGCGAGTAGCATCACATCGGAGACATTGACGGTAGATCGACCTGCGTGTCTGGATAAGAATATGGGTTAGTACACTTCGCGTTAGACGTGCTATCTCACAGGAATAATAGGAACAATTTCCTACTAATCGCAGCAATAGTGTCTATGTCTACGTACTTCGCAAAGGATTCTAAATCCTGACTGATGGTCTCTGCGAAGCGTCAGTTACAAGGAACAAAAGTCGGGAACCTGACACTAAACAATGGAACATACCTATCTGAGCCCAAACCATCTCTGTCAACGCACCGATGAACTGCGGAGTGGCATTGACGCCTAGCTTGATAGTCTCCTCATCCACGATCTTGCCAATGGACAACCACAGCGCGGATTTCAAGCGCTACGAAAGGGAGTTAGCCAGGTACATGACAAGATCCTGCCGACACTGACCTCCTCCAAACTAGCCTCTTCAGTCTGCTCCATAGTGATGAGATAATGCAAGACAACAAGCCGAGCGCGTCCCCATATAAAACCAACGACATCTGATTGGCCGATGACGCGTCCGCGGATTAACGGCTAATCCGGCACACAGGCCACGCTAACCCCAAACAGGCATTTCTCGTTGCGGGAGCCGCGGAATATCAAAGAAGCGCAAAGCAATCGCAGATCCTGTCAATTAATCCCTCAATTCTTAATATTTTACAAAAACTCTCTACTCTACCCTTTCTACCTCTGGCTGTCCTCTTCTACAACATCCCACTCCATTCCGCGGGTAGCCACCGAGCTCCCACATCTTCCTCCAAACCCTGCACCAAAACCCAAAAATATCAATCATCCACCATGTCCACGCCCCAATCTGATCTAAGCGAAAAGGCCGCGGCCGCAGCCAATGATTTCTTCGGCCAGCTCTACTCCTTCTTCGAGCTGATCGTAACCCGCTTCTTCAAAAACGGCTACGCCTCCATCGCCCAGATGAGCGGCAAGCGCTGGACCAAAGTCATCGGCAGCGTTGTCTTCTACATAATCATCCGGCCGTACATCGAGAAGTTGTTCAAGTGGATGCACGACCGCGACCGTCGCAAGGAGAAGGAGAAGCGCGAGAAGGAGAAGGCGCAGTTCGGGAAAGTTAAGGTGTCGCCTAACTCGCTGCGTGCTGGTGGTGACGGAAAAGGGAAGGTCCTTGGTGAAGTCGATAACACGGATGACGAGCTTGAGGATGAGGAGGATCTGATGGCTGCTGCTAGTGGTGTCCCTGAGTGGAATGATATGGCCCGCAAGCGTCAGAAGAATTACATTAAGCGTGTGAAGAAGGACCAGCGCGCTGAGGATTTGAGTCGGGATCAGATTATGGAGTTGTTGGATTGGAGTGAGGAGGAGGAGGTTGATGTGAAGGTCAAGAAGGATCTATGAGATTTGAACTGTGTTGGCTCTTGGGTTGTTCTTGTGTTGTGCATTGCATGGTCGACGGGGTTTATGCTTCTTGTATTTTTTTATTCATAGATTCCAATTTAATAGGACCCCATGGCCCCTCTGGCCTTTAAGTCAATTCTCTGAACTACTCGTAGCTTCCGGTTAGGAATTCTCGACCTTGTACAATAACGTATGTTGTATACTTGAAGGTCATAAATCTACTATTTGCACCTAAAACATGCATCCAATCCAGTCATATCCGAGCCAGAAATTTTATCCTGAGCCCTTCTAAAAACCAGCCAGCGCTGCATCTTATCCGTATTCATGAACAGTCCATAACACGTCGCCAATGCCCCCTAGAACTAGGTCCATCGTAAGAGATCAGTGAAGCCTCCGCAAGGCCTCAATCATTCTCTTAACCTCCACGACGTCTGAGGAGCCCATAACCTGCACAATCTCCTCTTGCATGCTTGGTGAGCAGTTCAAGAACTGCTCAATAAGCTCGCCATCCACGAACCGGTATGGTGCATCAGCACTACGCACCATAGTTCTAAAGCCGCGGAACTTATCGAATGACAAGTTACCCAATGGGTTTATTTTGGCGGATAGAACAGCTTGCAGGGTCATGAGGAAATCTTGATGTTCGGGGTTGATGACGGCGAAGAGGAAAATGGAGCCCTCAACCTTTGAATAGGTTAGCAAATGGGCCTTTAATGCTGGTCAGCCCGGTTAACTAGGGTGAACTTACTGTTGCCATAAATGCCCGCGGTGTCACCGTAACGCTAGAAAGCTGTGGAATATTAACTGGTCGGATACGATTGACCATCTCCCCTAGTGAAATTTCACTAGTAGGGATCAGCCTGTGCTTGTCCTGCGCGGTGACTCCGTTCATATTTCGCGAAAGGACGATAAGGTTTCCTTCAGCGTCACTCTGGAGGAATGTCTCGTCTCCAACGCAGGCAATTGCTGTACTCCAGACGGTCTGGTAGTGACGGCCGACTTCGGTCAGCTTGGCAGGTTCCCCGGCGTGACCCGGTGTATACCTGACAAGGCAAAGGCTCTTCATGAGATCTGCCACTGCGATTAGGTTGTCGACGACTGTTACGTCGACTGGTGCGGTGGAGGTCCGGTATGCAGCGAGTTTCTCGAGCTTCATCGGTCCAACGTTATTGATCTTGACTCTATACACAACGACCTGGATATCGTCAGTACGGGGTTCGAATATACAGTCGATTAGTACTCACGGTCTTAACAAGTGCCGCAACAACACAATCGCCCATCATAGCAAGAGCCCTACAGGCGCCCATAACAGGTAGCTCGGCGACTTGGCTCAGCTTGCGGCCGTGGTCGACTTCTAGAATGAGGATCCGCCCGCGGATCGATTCCTCCTGCTCTTCGTCTGCGAATGCCGTGCCAACAACAAATCGGTCCTTCATGATCTCTCTTCCATTTTCATCTTTCCCTGCCGGGAGCTCAGCGCGAACAACACTTTCCACCAGTTCGTCGGGGCGCAGTTCTAAAGCATCAAGACGTCGGAACATAATCTCATCGGCAAGCACAAAGTGGCTCTTGACAACCTCGGCGCCATTCTCGAGCTTGCGATCAATCGTGCCAATTCCAAATGCCTTCTCGGAAGGGGAGTATGCAACACGACGGACAGTCGAGCCCATTGGTAACGTCTGAATTTGCGTCGTGCGCTCTCTATCTACTAGCGCGATCTTCAGCTCTTTCTCGGTTGCCACAGCGATGGAATCTGGGAATGCCTCTGCGTTCAAATGGCATACCCGTGATGCGCCCTCGGAGTTCACTGCAGAGTAGATGATCCGGCCTTCGGAGCCGTAGATTAGGCTGGGGTTCTCGCAGGTAGCGAAGACGTTGTATACACCATCGCCCTTGGGGAGTTTCTTGAATGTGGGTTGCTCCGAACCAAGAATCAGCTTGTTCATC